CCCTGTGCGGCTCCGACCATGGAACCTGCTGACCGATGATCCCTGCGTCCATCATCGCCGCGTAAGAGTGGAGACATGTGCCGTTCACAGCGAAGCAGTGGCAGTTCAAACACACAGCGTGATGATGCGAAGCAGGTAGCAGATCAATTGCCCGGTCCGGAGTAAGGCGCCACCGCCGTGTGGCCTCTGGCCCCAGCAGCACCAGCACCCACCGCGCGACCTCGTCGCAAAGCGCAGCCAGATCACCTGCGCCAGTAGGCAGCACTCCTTCCTGACCATCGCCTCTGCAGTGGCCTTCGTCTTGAATTTCTCAATGGCATCTTCTGAGTACTCTTGCCGGAATATGTACGAAACAGTGCCATCCTCCCCCGCACTCTTCCGGAAAAACTCCGGGAGCGCGAGCGCCCTCTTGGCCTCCTGCTGTAAATACTTAGACCAATGACATGATGGGATATCATACAATGGCTCCGTCTTCAACTTCGCCTGGGCCGCTCGGCTCTTGCAAAGCCGCTGCAAAGCAGAGACAACATCTCCAGCGGGTATCCTGGTGTGCGTCAGGCTAGGCCGCAGCCGACTGCCATGCCACCGTTCTTGAGCTTGAGTGCCCGAGTAACTTCCTGGCACCGCCAAAGCGCCACACCACCCAGCAGCCCACTTGTCTTCGCTATCCTTGTGCATGTAAAAGCGCTGAAAGCTCTCTTTGCATGCACCTTCTCCGCGCTCGTCCATCCACTGGTAGATGCGTTTCCACATTTCACTGAAAGCGGGCCTGGGTAAGTGGCGGGAAGCCAACACAGCCTTCTGAACCAGTGGCAAAAGGCCCTTGTCCCGTAAGTTCTTCTCTGCAGTCTTCCATGCTCCAGTCCGCCAGACCACTGACCGCTCGTCTTGAGCCTGCCACAGTTTGCGAAAACTGCGGTTTGGGATTAGCCAGCTTGACAAAAAACGTAGCCACAAAGCACGTCGTTTCAAGGTCGCAAAGGGCCTTGCCCCCCTGAATAATATGAACGAACCCCTCGTGCATTTGTCACGGCCCCTTCCCCAAGCCGCAAAAAAAAACCAACGAATCAAATTTCAAGCCAAATTGCCAGGCAAGCCCTTTTGGTATGAGTCAGCTCTCTCCACTACAAAGCCCCGCTGTGTCCTACTAGAATCCAAACTGAGACAGAGCCACATTATATAGAGGGGCAGGCCAGGAAAGTAAAAAATGGACTCTTTTTTAGACCTTGTTGACCTTGTCGGGGGGGGGGGGGGAAATACGGGGTGAACATTATCAGGACCACGGCTCCAGCCCAGCCTGTGAAGCATGCACCTTTGGACGCACAGCGCCCACAAAGTGCGCCCAGTCAGCCAAGAGCGCGTGAGGCAGCACTGATTGGTGCATCGCTGCTGCCGCCGCACTCAAATCCACATGAAATTGGCCAACGCGCTCCAGAGCATCATCCACGCCGCAGCAAATTTTCATCGCCTTGGCAAACGCATCAATAACTCGCGTATATGATATCTGCGACTCCGTCTTTGCGATGGCGAAAATAACTTCGTGAAAGCTGGTGGCCCAGTTGTCCTCTCCGCGGTCGCATTTGTCTGCAGACCAAGATTTCGCCAGAAACCCTAAGCATATCAAAATGTGGCCCTCGAACACCACTCGAAAGACTCCGTCGCCAGAGATTCTCAAAAATGTCTTGTTGCACATTCGAGACCACCACAGGCCTCAGCAAGAAAGAAATGCCGATCCGCGCGCCAACCGGTCAACCCGAACTCACAAACCAGAATATATATATATAAATATATATATATATAAATAAATATATATATATATATATATATATATATATATATATATATATATATATTTATACATGATTTGTACACAGTCTACACACAAATGGCAGAAGACGAGGCACGCAGAAGCCGCGGCGAAGTGTATGATATCGTCAACTCGGTGTCAAGATGGGCTTCAACTAGACACAGGTCATGCTCGTCCGTGCCGCCGTGCTCTTCCAGCTTCGGAGACGTATCAGCCAGAAGCTCCCAGTCTTCAAGGTTCCAAGAGCCTTGCGATAGCCATTTAGCACCGGCTCTGACCTGGCGCAAGGCCATACGCGGCCACCCGCCCCTCTAGTCTAGTGTACTACTGTATCCATCTCCAGCGATGAGCCTGACAAGGTACTACCGTTGAACACCTTCCAAACTTACCAAATGGAGATAACATCACAAATAACCTTGCACCCTCTCAAACAAACCAATCAATGCCTTGAGTAACAAAAACACACCAGCCCGACTCGTCTGAAACTTGCTGCGCTTGCTAATTTGGTGAAAGCCAAACAGTCCTGACTCCACGAACGGCCTTTCAGCCTTGAGGGCAAAAAACAACGCGGAAATGAGCAGCAGTTCTGGTTTCTCTGCTGCGACCCAATGGCCGCAACGTTGGTCTTGAACCCGCACAGATCGATGCACCGGTCTGCATGAGCAACCACATATGTGAGGCAATCAGATAGCACAAGATCGAACAAAGCCAGGGAGAAGAGCCGACACCAACTGCGCGCAGCCCGAACTACTGATGGATCGACGCGCGCCTCTTTGTCGCGCTTTCGAATGTTCTTGACAAAGTTCACAACTGCGTCTTCTGCTGGGGTTTTGGGCTGAGTCCGCTTTTTGGCAATCTCCTGCAAACAAGCGGCGGCGGACAAACTGCAACTGTAACAGCTTTACTTCTTACCCAGCTGATGTTAGGCTGTCACAACCAAACACACTCCCAAACCGCTGCAAACGGCTTTGAGCAACACAATAAAAAGACATGGGTGCGGTTGGCCTGGAGAAGCTGCTCAATGCGGAAACTCTGCTTTGCCAAGAGATACTCGCGGATCAATTTCTTCGCGGGTACAGTCAGCCCATGCGCTTCTTGCTGCGAGCGCGTCCTCGGCAATAATTCACACTGAGGATGGCGAACCAACTAGCTGAAACGATAAACATATGCAAGGAAGGCGACCTCCCGAAAGTGCAGCTGCAGTAACTGGCGATGGGAACACACGAAACTGCATTCATGTTAAAATTATCCCGGCAAGAGACCCCAAATAATTAGTATTGGGTTCAATTTGACGACGGGTGGCCCGGAAGCGTCGAAAGACGTTAAATAGACCCTGACACCTCGCCCACTGCAGATGAGAAGCAAGCGTAAATCTACACATCAGTGTCCCTTCGTAGCTTCTGCAAGTTCTGATGAGCAAGCTTGGCATCGCGCTTCGAACAACCTATCCTGTCAACTTCTCTTGCGCGCAACGCTGTGCTTTGACTACTTTTCGTAAAAAAAAATGCGATTTTCAAGCCAGAGCCGCAGCTGCGGGAATGGACTTCGAGCACTATTTTTGTACTTTAAACTTGCGACGTTGCAGCCGGAGCTCTCTGAAAGCTCTTCGCGCACTATTTTTGTACTTAAAACTTGTGATTTTGTAGCCGGAGCTGCGGGAGTGCGCTTCGCCTTTGGCGCGAGGCTTCATCAAAAACACAGCGCGAACCTCACACGCACCAGCGCGTACCCACGTCCCTGCCAGCAAAAAATGCATTTTTGCTTCAAAAAAAGCGTTTGGCACGAGGCTTCCTCAAAAAACATAGCGCGAACCTTCCAACTGTTTCCTGCCAGCAAAAAAATGCGAACGGCACCATAACGGGACGCACGCGTCAGCCCACGCCTCCATTTCGCGCGAGTCAGTCGCGGCGAAGACAACTTTCTGCGCACAGGGCCAGCGATTTGAGCGCGAACCTCGATCTAAGCCGGCCTTATCTCTTACCGTCAGAACCCCTGCGTGTAAACAACATCTGCGGAAAAAACAAGATGCACGCCAGTGCTGCCAAAACTCTTGCTGAAATCTGTATGACAAGATGTGGGCGTGGCCCTGATGGAAAGCGATCTCTGAGATGGGAAATACGATGCCCAGCCGCACCACGTGCACTTACTGCACGTCATACACCAAAACTTCCAGTCCATCGTCCCACTAGATCGCTTCCTCTTGCTCGTGGACACACGCACGTATTGCTCCTCTGTACAAGCAAACGCGGAGATCTTGCTGACCACCTGCTTTTCCGTCCACGGGTCGCCGTCGTGCGCGACCGTGGACTTCACCGTGTAGATGTCTTTTTTGGACTTCCGTGGACTTCACCGTGGACTTCACCGTCGCAGCGGCTGCGGATGGCCGCTTGAAGGCGGCAGGTCGCTTCATGATGGAGGATCCATGGACAGAGCTATCGCCGAGCTGCGCCCATCACATCTCAGTCGGTTTATTAACCCTGGGTCAACATTAAAGGCATCAGGCAGAATAATTTCCTTCTGGAACCTGTAAAGTCGATGGAGGGGACATCTGGCACCACTGACTGACCACACCGAATCCCATTAGAACACACATGTTCAAGTGTGAAGATTTCCTTCAGATATGGTCCACAGGGCAGCAAGTTATTGGCTTGATTTGAGCCACGGACATGTTGTTTCTCCTCAAAACGACATTTGAACATTGGGTGGACCTCTGGCTAACCGCCGACAAAGAACACGTTCCAAGAAGCATGCACACTTATCACGACACATGTGACCACACATCGAGTCCATTATCATGCCTGTGAGCCCAAAAAACAATGAATGCACAAACGACCCCAGGATTGAATGCACAGACGACACCAGGATTGAATGCACAGACGACCCCGTGACCGTCTGTCTGTCTGTCTGCCTGCCTGCCTGTCTGTCTGTCCGTCTGTCTGTATGTATGTCTGTATGTATGTATGTATCTGTATTTACAAATACATAATCTAAACTTACTCAAAATAAATGCAATCTAAACTCTCTCTTTTGTCAGGGACCCCTTTCTGGGTTGGTTCTAAGGAAAGGAACCCCGCTTCCTGGGGTAGCCTCAAAAAAAGCACTATATCATATATATATATATTAGTGTATGTATCTATATATATATATACATCACATATGTTGCTTGTTGTAGCGCCAACCCCCCTTCTCGTGCCTTGCTGAACTCCCGGGGCGGGAGCTCCACGAACTCCATGGTGAAGGGCTGGCTGAGGCCTCCCAAGATCTCCGCGATGGCGGTGACGCCGCCCTTCGTCCCCGCGCCGATCTCGTTGAAGTCCTGAAGCGACTCCAATGCCACGGCGGCATTTCTTGGTGCTTTGGACGGGCGTGGATTGGATTTGAACCCCACTTCTTGGCCGGGGAGAAAAAAACGAAAAGGGAGTCCCTTTAAAAAAGAGACCCACCCATTTCCTTGCTCGGTGCTGTGGATTTGCTTGGATTGGTTTGTGGATTTGAACCCCAGTTATTTGCCGGAAAGCAAAACCGAAACCTGGGAAAGATGAGGTACTGTGGATGGTTGCGAAATCCACTTCTCCACCACCGTTCAGAAACCGTGGCGTCTGATTCGATTCCCCAAGGTAAATACCAACAAACAATGGTTTCAACCATGGTTTCAAAGTGGCGCGAACGGATTTCGTCCATCCAAAGTAGTACTTCCTTTCTTGGTGCTTTGGATTGTGCTAAGGGCTACCTCCAAACCTTCAATGGTCCGGCGAAACGCAATACGGAAAAATGCATGCCACTCAGGCGGGTGCGTCTGCTGTTGGACCAAACTTGTGGCTGTCTTGCGGTTGTCCTAGGCGGAAGGGGCGTCTATTTCCCCAGCTAGGTTCGGCGGGCTAACAACTTGCGCCAGGTGTTCGCCACGATCAACATCCCCAGCATCGGTGTCCACACCCCTGGCATCACCAGAAGCTTTGGCTTGGGTTTCTTTGGGGCGGGTTTACGCTTGCTTTTGTTGGCTTAGGGTTAGTTGTTGTTTGGCTGTTTAGTGCTGGTTTACCGAGGGTTCAGGGTTGATTTAGGGTGGGTTTTGGGATGGTTTAAGGTTGGTTTAGGGCTGATTTAGGTTAGGGCTTGCGGGTCAGGGGTCTAGGGTTTTCGGGCTGGTCTAGCGAGACCTTTAGAGTTTAGGAATTTTCAGGCTTTGGGCGTGGACGTAAGGTTTATATCCAAGGTGAAGGTTGAGGGCTTTTAGGCTGAGGGTTCAGGTTTAGAAAAACAATCTAGGCTTGTTTAGGGTTGGTTTGGGGTTCGTTTCGGGTTGGTTTAGGGTGGGTTTAGGTAAGTGCGGGTTTAGTGTGGGTTTCGGGTAGGTTTAGTTGTGATTTCAGCTGGGTTTAGTGGTGGGTAGGGGTTGGTTTAGGATGGTTTAGAGATAGTTAAGTGCTGGGTTACAAACACTGTCCTGGCAGTGATGCTACTGAGGGTTGCTCATGATGCCAAGGATGTGGAAAGCCACAAGCACGCAACAAGCCGCGAAAGCCAAAAAAGCGCCCACCGACCAACCGACCGACCGACCGACCAACCGGCCCGGCCCGCCAAACCTGGGAAAAAAGAAACTCGGAGCCCGTCTTTTGAACCAAAAAGGGGAGTCCCTCAAAAAGAGACCCACCCAGTTCCTTGCTTGTTGCTGTGGCTTGGCTTGGATTGGTTTGGGGACTTGAACCCCACTCATGGGGAAGATGTGTCAAAACCGGACCCACAAGACATGAAACTGTTGCCCAGCCGGAGTGGGTGTTGCAGCCACAAAAGTCGAAAGGCACCTGCAGATCGGCATATCCACCCCCCCCCCCAGAGAATTCTGGACGGTGGGGGTCTTCAATCGCATTCCAAGTGCGCATGTCTCATGTCTCTAAATGGAGGGAACTCTCAAAATTGGTGTCCATTGCTGTCCCTCCAACCGCCCCAAAGGTTCTAAGAAGCAAGTCCAACTCCTGCCTTCACAAAGGGCATCTCCAGGATCTCCGTGCCGTTGATCGCGGAGATGGCCCAGCCGTCGCCCACGCCGAAGCCGGCCGCCTGGCCTCCTGGCTCGATGCCGTTCACCATGGCGCCCTTGCCGTCCGGGCGCTGGGTGACGATGCCGAAGCCGGGAGAGGCCTGCTGGGGCGGCTGGAAGGTGTAGGGCCCGTGCTTCTTCATCTGCGCGCCCTGACAAGTGTGAAGCCAATCAAAACACGAGCACAGACGCCCAAACAGTCACTTCGTCACAAGGAGGTTCTTTTCGGATGGTACCCTTTTTAGGATGCTTCTTACCGGAGAACAGCTAAACCATCCATTTCTTTTCCCGTCCGACTCCCATGAGCCACATCCACAAGCCTTGGGGGCGATCATCAGCTTGGCGCTGACCAGCTCCGGGGCCATGATCTCCGTGGTGCCCACGCAGGACCGCGCCATGGTCCCCGTGAGGCTCTTCGCCACCCCGAAGTCGATCAGCTTCACCGGGGTGCTGCCCGTGAGCTGCTGCCCGCCTTCTCTCTCTCTCTCTCTTTTTTTTTTTCTCGGAGCGTCTCGTGACTCGTTCTGCAGGTGGCAATCCCCAAAAACACATCCCCGACATGTGGAATATCTCATGCAGAGAAAAAGTTGGGGTTCTTACACATGGGAAATGGACTAAAAAGAATGGTAGCCCCTCTGTACAAAACCCTTTTGAGGGACCGTCAAAAATTCAAAGCCTACTGCCCCATGTGTTTTCCTTTAACAAAGGCCCAAAAAAAAATGTGGGGTGCCCCGCGCGGGGAATCCATGCACCAGAGGCAAAGCCTCGCTATGGGATCGGGGAGTGGCCGGAAAAACTGAACCATGTCCACCGTTGGGGTTTGGTTTCAAGGGGAGAAAAAAAGGAAGCCACCCACTTGGAGAAAAAGGGTGAGACCTGGAGAAGCAAAGCTATTTTTGCTGGGCTTGATGCGTCGTGTGATCTGATGTGACTGCAAAGCCACACCAAGCACAATCAACACAAACACACGACAAAAACATTTACCAAGGCAACCATAGAACACACACACACACACACACGCAGAACCCGAATCAATTGCAAGTTTAAAAAAGCAGCCAAATCCAATCAAGTCAAATGAAGCATCAAACCCAACCAAAACCCAATCAAACCACGCAAAACCCACCCAAACAAAAACAAAACAGCCTGCCAGAGTCCCCCCCTTTGGCCCAGTTTCTGCGTTTCCCTTTTCCGGGCACACATCCTTGCTACCCGCCCTCCCACAATCATGGAAGACGACTTTCCTCTTGGGAAGACGCCCCCTGGCCACTTCCCCTGTTGGAAAACCTCACAAGGAACCTAACCACTTTCTTTGCATACGCATTTTGCCGCGCCGCACACCAAGATGTTCTCCACCTTGAGATCTCGATGGACCACATCCTTGTCGTGGATGTACTTCAGCGCGGACGTGGTTTGGCGCATGACGCTCTTCACCACGTCCTGTCTGCCCCATCCCCCAAAGGGAAAACGGCATGACCAGCGCTCCTTAAGGGCGATCCTGGTATTGAAACATTTGCGTATGGCTAATCCTGTACGCCTACCTCTATGGCCAATGTGCAATTTTGTTTGTATATATATGTATGGTAGGACCCCACCCAATACCAAGGTTTTCCTGCTTTAAAATGTACATGTTGCATGTTTTTTTGTATAGAAAGTCGCTTGTTTGAGGAAAACCTGGAGTTGAGTTGGGGTCCTGCTAAAGATCAGAATACATGTCTTACTACAAGTGCTTGATCATCGTTATGTGTCATTGGATGAGTATAGATCACATAACTGACTGATTTATAATTTTATAATTCAGTGTTGGAGTTTATAAACGTCCAACTCTGGTTTATAAACTCTTCATCGTTGGATTGGGGGGGGGGGGTCCGTGGCAACTCTTGAGGGGGAGGGGGGGGGGCCCGCGGCAATTTTGAGGGGGTGGTTGTTAGAACTCTTCCCCCCCAACCTCCCCTTCAAGAGTTGCCGGGCCCCTTCCCCTCCCCCCTTCAAGAGTTGCCAGGCAGAGACCCCCCCCCCTTCCCCTCATCCAACTGCCAGGAGTCCAAGAGTTTAGAGTTTATAAACCAGACTTGGAAGTTTATAAACTAAATGCTGAGCCTACACAAATTGAGACCATTTCAATGCACAATTTCAATCTGTTTAATGAACAGCTACTGGCTCGGGCAAATTCAAGCCTATTCATTCCCGCGCTAATAACCACAATGGCCTGGTATCTCGAGGGCATGAAAGCGGATCCTGAGCAGACCAATCTAGAATCAATTTGAACCTCCAAAATATCAAATGTGAATTCCTTTGCAAATAAGATGTTACTTCAAATTGAATCGACATTTTGAATGGAAATTAGTAAGGCCATAGTTCATGTGAAAATCTATATTCCATCAGAATTTAAATAAGAATCCCTTTCCAAATCGGAGTTAAAGGCAATTATTCAATTGGCCTCTAAACATCATCTCAAATAGGAGCTCATTCCCAAATGTGTTTAGATTAAATGTGGCTTAAACAACAGTGATATTTGTTTTCATGACGAAACCAGTCCATGCAGAACTTAGGTTTAAAATAGAGTTTGAAAATGAGCTCCCTTGCAAACATTGCTTTAATTAAATGTCAATTGACATGTTAAATAAAATCTAGTAAGGACAAGGTTTTGCATTCCGGATTTTCTGTCTGTTTTGTTCTTTTTGGGCCTGTGCAAGTTTCAGAGCTAGAGCTTTCATCTTCTTCAGGTTCTGTTTTTTGGGCTGAGAAGGGGGGTAGGCCCAGGTTCAAACCCCAGTAAAATGTGACGAAGCGGGTGGCCCACTTTTGCATTTCAGAAATGTTGCTTTGGTTCACACAACCATGAAGGCAGGATTTCACCAAACGTGCTCAAATGAGGTTGGGTCAACATACTTGGTATAGCAACCATTTGAGAATCAATTGGACATGGATTTGGGGGTGTTGCTTGGTGCGCAATGTATGGCCAAATGATTGGTACGGTCATCAGCCCCCCTACCGATGGCCTCAGGTTCCTGACTGGCATTTTATGGGGCTCAAGCTGCAAAAAAACAGATTGTGTTGCTTTACTACGTGTGCTGGAAACCAGTGTAAACATAAAAGTTTCCAATGAAAACCATGCTTGAAGCCGAACACAAAAGCCGTCTTGGACTTATTGCCTTTTTCAATCCTCAAAAGGCGAAACACCTGCTACCGTAAAGAAGGTGACAAATCATCAACAACACCTTATGTTGCAGCGCTTTCAGTCATATGGAGAAAGAGGAAGTGCAGAGTAGATATGACGCTTTCCAACTAGCGGCCATCCACCCCCACCTACCTTTCTACACACCAACTACACAAAACCTCTGATTTTAGAGGCAGAAGTGAGAATCGCAGGGAAACAGCTTTGTGTCCCAACAGGAATGGCTGTGCTGTCCTGCAACGCTGGTGCAAGAGTTCGGAATACGAATCGCAGCAACGCATAGGCTGGGTTGGAGAACTTGTGACTTGAGCCAAACGTGGCCACCACTTGTATATGTTGCAAACATACATGTCGCTGTGGTACTATTCACAAAAAACAGCAGCAATGAGTTCATAAGCTGTCCAGTTGGTTGCTGGATGTCGCCTCTGCGTCCGCCCTGCAAAGCATCCATCATTTGCCCCACAAGTAAAAAAAAAACAAAAAACCTTGGTATTGGGAGGGGGTCTTAGCATATACATATATATAGGGTCACAACCCCCCCCCCCTTACCCTCACATGTCCACACACGCATAATTCCAGTGTATGAAAAAAACATGTGTATACATATATATATATATATATATGTACCTGTTTGCATTCACATGTCGTCCGACACTTCTCCAAACACAGTCCTCCGCCAGGCCACCCTCCACGAAGCCGGCCAGCTCGCCCCCGTCGATGAGCTCCATCACGATCATGATGTACTGGGCCTATGGGAAGCCCGAAACCCATGCTGAACCCCAAGGAACCCCTGGTTTTACCACAAGAAAACATGGGCGTGGATCAGGGAACAAAACAAACCACGCAGAAAAGCGAAACTGGCATGAGGCTGATGTTAAGAATAGGTGTTTAAATCATGGTCGAAGACATGATTGTCGCAGGAAAATGCTGCGACAACCAAATCCCGAAGCAACACCGTCGAGGGTATACAGCCACAGATTGAACACCTTCCCTTTGGCTTCCCTGAAGAAGGCCTGGGGGTGATTGTTGAAACATGTGTTTGTCACTACATGCATGGCTCATTGATGGTGCTTGGCCCGCAATAGTCACTAGCAAAACGGCTAGGGGGTGGTTTGTTCCACTTGGCGGTGTCTTTTTTTCAGGACGCCCTTGGGGTGAGGGGAAACCGAAGGAAGCCCTTTTCTCGGGGCTCCATCCCGGAAACCGCGCCGCGGCAACGGCTCGAAGCCTGGGAGGTGCCGGGCCGGAAGGCGTCGAAGCAGCCCAGGCACTCGCAGATGTTGGGGTGGCCCTGGATCTTCAGCAGCACCTCATGGGCCACAAGATCTCATCTGTGTCTGCAATCCGGCGCGTTCTGTTGGCCCCACGGGTCTTTTGGGGAGGCTGACCAATCCCTCATCCAATGGAAGCCAAACGGAATCAACCATCGTTGCTCTTTTCTTGAGGGGCGGACCCTAAACCCATTTGTTGGTGATCTTAAAGGAAAACACAAAGGAAAACCAAAGCCATTTGAGGATCCCCTCAAAAAACAGGACATACCCCTCTGAGGTTTCAGTTACCAGACCTAAAAAATAGACACCCACCTCCGATGGAAAGGGCAGCCTTGTCTATTTCATCCGCTGCGGGGGTTGCAAGGTTCGGTCTCACATCCAGAGCCGCCATGGTAGGAACGGCGTATTTGGATTGCTCGCTGCGCGGGAAAGTTGTAAATTCCTCGTTGGCTCAGCCAGTCAGGGTTGTAACTCCGAACGAGGTTAGCTGGTTCAATCGCTCTTGCGATGCTCTTTTCCAATAATCATGGAAGTGGACAAGGGAGCCTCCCTAAAAGGAATATAGTCTTCCAAAACCCTCCTGTCAGCTTCCATGATTGTTGGAGGGAGGGTACCAAGCAACCGTTGCACCCAAAAGATGTATATCGGCATCAGAAAGGCCTTCCAGTGCTACAGAAGTGGACTTAACTCCATCCAAAAAAGCGAACCCTTTTTGTTGAGGAACACCCAGCCCATTTGTCTTCTTGTTTTGTGTGTGTGCGTTCCCTTCAGCACCTCGGTCTCCTTGCGGATGGTCTTGATCTTCTCATCGCAGGAGGGGTCCATCAGCAGACGCCAAATGGGGATGGTCTTCACCGCATGCTTCACGTTGGGAGTGCTCCTAATACCGTGTGGCATCTCAACACGAAAGCCGCTCAAAGCAACCTAATGAGCCCGTTCCAAAAAACATAAACCTTTTGTGGGTCCTCCACATGAGTCATTCTCAAAACTTGGTATGAGAATGGGCAGAATCCCGGGACGCCTCTCTCTCGAGCGCGACCCCCCGACTCTCCTCTTGTGGCAGAGGTACACAGTACCCTGGCCGCCCACCCCCAGCACCTCAGCGGGACAATGGGCACAAGTCACCTCGCCCATGTCCAATTTGTTATCGCAAATCACCCCGTGGCGGTGGTGTCCAATAAAAACCCTTCACCTGAAAACCCGAAATCGCATCAGGTTAACCAGGTTGAACGGGCGTCTTTGTGGCACATCATATGCGATGTCCTCCTAGTCCGAATGCAAACTCATGCCGTGCTGGTGCGCAGCATGCCAGCTGTAAAGAGGGTCGGTCCCCGGGTTTTCGATTTACCCTTGATTCGAGTTCGCCGCCGAGTTCCTCCAAATCCAACTCCTTCAACTTTAAAAAGACAACTAAGAAAACACGCGCAATCTGGCTCCAACTCAACCGTCGAACGCGCCAGGTCAGCTGCGGCTGGCCCCACTCTCCTACCCCTGTCAAGGTACAACCTCCGTGGCACTTCAAAGTCATGAAGCAAACCTACGACCCTAAAGCAAACCAACACACAAGTTGCCAGAGTCCCCCAGGCAAACAAGTTCCCCACCTGGTCCGTCTCGATCTCAAAGGGGTCCTCGGGTGGCCCGAAGACCTTGAACTGCTCAATGGACCCCAGCGCTCTGGCTGCCACCCGTGCGCGGTGAGGCGGCTGGCGCCGCCGAAATGCCGAAGTGCGGGAGCCTCAGACAAATGCCGATATCGCTAACATGAGCCGAAGGCCTGAAAACTCACAAAGTCAAAAAGGGCATTGCATCTTCATCAACTCCACAAATGTGACCACGTGCATATCCCCAGTCCCATTCATGCATGCCAAAACTCATGTATATACATACAAAACCTATTCATATGTTCGTATATATATATATATATACAATATATATATATGTATATATATATATGTGTAGACATCCCCACATGCCAACTGCTGTCTCGGCGGCCGGCCAAGCAGGCGACCAGCGCCGCCGAAGCTGTCGCTTCCGGCCGCAGCCCCGCGCCCTCGCCGCATCCGACGCCGAGCGCCCGGCGGGGCGCCCCGAGCGGCGCGCGGGGCGCGGCGCCCGCCGGGCTGAGGAAGGCGACGTCCATGGCGGGGCACGATGTTTGAAGAGAGTAGGGGAGATTTAGTGGTTGCAGCTCCTGGACCCTTGGACCTGTATAAGTTATGTTTGTCTCGGTGTTCATGTTTGCCAAGCTTGGACCCTTGTGCGGATTCAGAGGCAGTCTGGCACCAAAGCTCGAGTTTCCCGGCGTGCGGCAACCTGGGTGTCCTTTATGGGCAATTTGGATCTTGGGATCTAGTTGGGATCTCCTTCTTGTCGGCTCGTTTGGTCTCCATCATGTCAGCTTTCCAGATGCAGCGCTCAGGCTCCTGACAACCACGGTCATTTGAGCAGCCGGCCCCTTTTGGAACCATCTTACAACCTGACATGTCAACACACCACAAGCGCCATGGGTGATGGGCTCTTCATGAAGCTGCCTCCAAAAAGAGCGCCCCTTGAACATTGGCCAACCGGGTCTTCACCGGCTTTCATCTGCCAAGCCCTCGCCCGAAGGCCCGATTAAGCACGAACGACAGCCCCAAACTGATCCGGAATCCCGCGCTTGCGATTGGCACCAGCCAACAACATAATCACGAGTGCCGCGCCCATCAGGAGCTGAATGTGAGGGTTGATCAAAGGTCCGTTTTACATGGGATGACCATCAGGGAAACCACCAAAAAGATGATATGTCCCGACAAAAGGGAAAAGTTAACCTTCGTCATTTGCACCCCCATGTATTCAAAGCCACAGCCACACGGGATGTCGCAGTCTCAGGACTGGCAGAGTGTCTCCAAGGTGCAACATGGCGATTTCGCCCTCGCTGGGCATGAAAACACACACCTATGATGGCAGGTGACATCCGCAAGGCATTTGGGTAAGATCTTGAGCTCAAAAGGCCAAGGTGCCAATTCCAACTGCTGTGGTCCAATGTTCCAATGTTCCAATGTTCCAATGGTGAGGCAGAATACACTACCGTTGCTGTGCTCCAATTGGCCGAAAACGGCCAATTATTCATTCAACATTGCTGTGCGCCAATGTTGATCCAGCTACACGGCAGCTCGGTGGGGCCTCCCCAGCGGCTCGCTCGAGTCGTAGGCCCGTACCGCCCCCCAAACCGAACACTGCCGGACCGGGGCCCTTTTTTGAGCGCCCATCTCTAAAGACTTCTGTCGTGTACAAAGCGATGGCTGCGAAAAAAAACGGCCAGGAAAAAGTTCGAGCTTGGACCGGGTCAGGAGATGTTCAATTCATCGGATCCGACAAAAGCTCGCCAGTCCAAGGTCGGAAGGGCGGTAAGCCCCACCTATTTCTAACCAACTCATAGCGGCACGTACCCGGGAACAGCCGCGTCCTCACAATGCAGCGTGTCAAGAGGTGCCCGACACGTTGACAGTGAAGAGTGGGAAGCAGATGGATGGAACTCCCTGGAAATCCAACTGCAAGTTCCCGTTTGTGACATTTCCTCTCTCGATTGTCAAACGCCAGTTGCGCTTGCTTGCTGGGGTTTTGAGCTCCTTTGGCTCCCTTTGCGTGTGATGTTTGCAGGCGATTGCATGTGCATAGGAGGGGGATCCTGCAAACGGCGGGGGTCGGAGTTGCGGCTGTTTCTTCGAGTCTGGGTATGTGTCTAAACCACTATCCCTAGGTTTCAACCCCCGCACCTACCCACCCACTCAGCCGCCCTTCCACCCACGCACGCACGCACGAAGGCGCGCTTGCGCACACCGAGCACGCGCACACACGCACGCAAGCACCTATTTGCATTTAGTTGTGTCTTAGTTTTGTGGATGTTTTACACATGTTCATGGTTTGTTTTCTGCCAGCCACTAGACCACTAGGCTCGGTCCGTGCTTCACAAATTGCCTCCCGTCTTTGCCAGAACCCATCGGAGGCTGTCATTTTGCCAGAAGTCCAAGCCACCCCCCGACTGCCATGGCTAGGTGGGGTAGGGTGCCATGTGGGAAGTGTAGACACATGCCTGCTCGTGAGACTTGATTTTCCACCAGCCTATATAAGGGTTGTCCTTTTTCAAGCTGTGGAAGAAGTGACCCCCTTTACTCAGAGAGTTGGATTCCATTTGAGGTAAAGCACGGCTTGGCGTCATTTGACACGGGTTTGCCCCTGCTTTCGACAGAATGCAGGGAAAAGTGCGGAAAGGACAGCGCTTGTGCTGGCAAACTAGGCTTCGTTCAAACAAGCCCTTGGCCTAGCGTCATTTGGGCGGTGGCTTGCCGGCGGTCACCAGAATCTCCCCATTTGCATTTGAGCAAGTTTCAGATGTGAGAAATCCTGGTCTGGTCCTTCCCCGAATTCGTCACGTGCCTTGCTTTAATCAAGCTGAGGTGCTTCCAATCGTATCCAATGGCTTGCCGTGTTGCATCAGTGTCTCGGCATGCGTTCCCATTGAACACCACTTCCCAGCCAATTCTCCCAGGTGTACATATCCCTTTCCCACATTCCACCCATCTCCCACTCCCCAATCCTCCCAGGATTCGCGCATGTCCCTCACTTCCCACGTCCCACGTCTCCAACCTCCAACCTCCAACCCAACCACTCCCGGTCCTCGAGGATCCCAACATCCCATCCTACTGCAAGAAGGGGTGCGCCAGCACCTGCTCGATGGTGGGCCGTTCCATGGGGTTCACCTTGAGGAGGCTTCGCACCAGGTCCTGGCCGGAGACCCGGAGATCCGCAGACCGGGATTCCCCAATTGGCCGTGCATGGCTATGGACTGTGTTCAAGGGAGATGCTACAAAAGGGATATGGGTGTCCCCTTTTGGAAGAACCCCCCCCCATTTTTCGGTGGTTTTCCTTGTGGTTTCCATTCAAAACCACGAAACATGCTGGTTGTTTGGAGCGGGACCCGTGAACATGCGGCTGCCTCAAAATCAACCTGCAAAATGTGCGGTTTCCCTTGGGCGTCCGAATCTAAAAATCCAAGGCCAGCCTCAGAAAAAGCAAACCCACATGCCTGGGAACAAACGGCGACATGCACCGGTACCCTACCCTGGCCAGAAAGGCCGAAAACTCTGGAGGGATCATCCCCCGTCTCGGACGTTCAATGACGGGTAGTGGACACACGAGAATCGATTTGCCTCCAAGCGTTTCTTGCAGTTGGGTGCAAATAGGTGTCTGAGGCCAACACGGAGATCCCCAAAAAAGGCGGGCTTTCGTTTCAGATCCCTTTTAACCAACCAATCTACAGAAGGTACCATGAAAAGGGTGCCCTAAACCATACAGAGGAAGATGTGCAATCCGAAGTGGGGCTTGGCCGATCAAAAATGACCCAACCACCTTGGCTCGAATTGGCGGTTTGGACTGGTTTGGGGAATGGAAATCCGAAGATACAGGGCCAGCCCCGCGATCGCCCATCCAAACCAATGGGAGGAAGCCAAGTGGTTGCCTACCCACCTAAACCATTCATGCAGCCAGCCCGCTGCTCATTGAACATGTATCCGGAGTGATGCTATCCTTCCCCAAACCCAACCCCCCACAGCTCAGTTCAGCTCGTCCTGCGCTTGCGGGGAGCAAGCGCTCAGCAGCGCGGGGTTGTACTCACCCTCCACGATCTGTTCCTCGTCCTGGCAGCTTCGGAAATAACCCCCGTGCCGTCGCCAAAATGTGCCCGGGGTGGAAAATGACCAGACCCCCGAACCATGTGTCCTTCTTGGAGTCAGAAACAAACCGTATTATCTTTGTGTTTACATCTAACCAAAACCAAAAGAAGCCAAAGGGAAGCTTCTGCAGCACCGATTTCTGGCGACACATGCCCTGGTTTTGAGTGTGGCTCAAGTAAAGGAATCAGAAAAAGAGCCGACCTTTTCCGGGAGCCACAAGCTGGCTCTGCCTCTGCCCTCGAATCTGACTGAATCAGACTGGTTCACAATGATCTCTCTAATCCTGCCACGTAGCGAGTGGGACACCAACACAGCAAGGGAATCCCATAAACACCACCATCTACCAGGGCTTTAATTTGTGGCCTTGGGAGGTGTCAGACTGTCAGACGCCCGATGCGATCCTTGAAGGGCTTCTGGCCCGTGAGCATGACGTACATGGTCACCCCCAAGCTCCACAGGTCCACGGCCTCCCAAGCCATGGGTAGTGGGGGAGAACAGCGCCATGGACGCGTCACTTGGAGTCGATTTCGCAGCCAAGAAAACTGAAAAACCAACCTCCAGGTATCCACCATAAGGAGAACGCCTGAAACGAGGAAAGGATTGCCTCTTGTGGGGCTTCCTTAGGGAAAACCAAGAGAAACCAACAGTGAAACCAAAGGGACAATAAAAGCAGTAGGCCAAAAGAGAAACCAAGCATTTTGCAAGCCCCATCCAATTTTCAGAGAGAGCTACATGAGTCCTGACCAAAATCTGGGATCAAAGGAGACGTCCCCACAAAAACAAAAACTGGCAAGCAACTACATTTGGTCGGGAGCCACATGTGTCTAGGTCCCAACCACTAACCTCCACTTGCCCATCACTTGCACAAAAGACCTGGACAACCAAAAGGGTAAGATCCGGTCGAACTCCCGTTGAAGTGAGAAAAAACATCTAGGGCCGAATGGGCGTGTCGCGTGAATTCGTGGCCTTTGGGGGCCCCTTTGGTGTAGCTATGGTTCATTGCCCCATCGCTCAGGGTGTTATACCAGGGATCTAGATCCACCCTCACCTAGAACAAGACTTGGACTGCCAAAAACCAAACCTTCATCATGGGTCAGGTTGCAAACCAAACCCGTTTGTGAGGTCACCATCAATTTGACCGTTGCCTAAAGGACCCAGAACTAGAAGGTTAACCTTTTCGGGCCATGACCAAACATCTCCATTCTGCCTACAATCCAGCGACACCGCATCGAGCCCCCGAGACCATCTCAACTGCAATGAATAGGACACCCTAATCAACCAGCGGTTGATTCCTCAACCTGTGCCTTTTTTGAGGGTACCCCGTTTCGGTGGCTTCAGAGGAAAACCAAAAGGACAACCCTTGCGCCACTTGAGGGGATTCCAAATTCTAACAAAATAAAAATAAAAACGAGCCACCCTACTGGTTGAACCAACCCAGTGAACGACCCGACCCCAACCCGAGCCTTGCTGAACTCCCGCTTTGGCAGCTCCACGAACTCCATGGTGAAGGGCTGGCTGAGGCCTCCCAAGATCTCCGCGATGGCGGTGACGCCGCCCTTCGTCCCCGCGCCCAGCTCGTTGAAGTCCTGAAGCGACTCCAATGCCACGGCAGCATGTCTCGGTTGGATTGGCTTGGATTGGTGTGTGGAGATTTGAACCCCATTTCTTCGTCGGGGAGAAAAAAGAGACAACTGGGAAAGACTGGCGTTCCCTTCTTTTTTTTGGAGGGCCGGTTGAAAAAAAATGGGAATGAGGTTGCGTTCTGCTTTGGAGGTGACCCAGCCTTTTGGGGGGTGTTTAGGGAAAAAACTGGAGGACTGCGAGATGAGCCAAAGCGTTTTTGGGGTTCGTACACCATATGGATGTCATATGGATGTCAAAAATAGATGGCTTGCCTGTGGTTTCCCCACCTTCCCAAAGGTCGAATATTGAAATCTGGTTCACCATAAGCGGGTTGGAAAACAACCAGGGGTTCTCACCCTGACAACGTAGGGGGATGTGTGTGTGTGTGCGCGCGCTTTTGCTTGTTTTTGGTCATGGTTAACTCGCACATGAACCCTCTGGCCGTTTAGACCCCACCATCCATACCCGGCAGTTGAAGGAGACATCTTCCACTTTACGACCTTACGCCAGACCTTGTCTTGCTGGTTCTTCGTTGGAACTTGGTCGAACGATGTTGAGCCACCCCCTCCCAACCATTGTTGGATAGTTGGGAATGGCGATGGTGGGGTTAATTAGTAGGGAGTGGCAACGCTGGTTTGAAGCTTGACCATCTTCCCCAACTACTCCGGGACTCCATTCTGCTCATGTTTACGCTGGGATTTTGGTGATTTCCTCATGAGAAGGATCCCTGCAAAGAATGGGAAGTGATGCGGACTGATGGTGGAGTTTAGTCAACCATGCGCTCAACGCGTAATCTATTGAAATTCTGACAGTGAGGATCTTCAAACTATTACGAAGCAAGCCGTTCAATTCTGGACGGGGGTCTTCAATCATATTCCAAGTGGGTATGTCTCTGGGAACTCTCAAAAAGGATTTCCCTCCAAAAATGACGACACCCAACTGGAAGCAAGCCATCCGATTCAGGGGTGTCCTTCTGCCACCTTTCGTGAGAAAATTGGCGACCCCCGCAAAAAGGAGTCCTCTACGACGAGGGGGGGTCGATCATTTTGCCGCAAAAGGTGGCAAAAAGACCCCCCAGCCATCCGATTTCCCCGCCTTCACAAAGGGCATCTCCAGGATCTCCGTGCCGTTGATCGCGGAGATGGCCCAGCCGTCGCCCACGCCGAAGCCGGCCGCCTGGCCTCCTGGCTCGATGCCGTTCACCATGGCGCCCTTGCCGTCCGGGCGCTGGGTGACGATGCCGAAGCCGGGAGAGGCCTGCTGGGGCGGCTGGAAGGTGTAGGGCCCGTGCTTCATCATCTGCGCGCCCTGCCAGCGAGCCGAAGCTTGCACAACCCCAAACCCTAGAAGCCCACAAGCCTCATGTCTCTGGGCTTCTCTTGCTAGGATCCCAAGCGCCTTCTAGGGCATCCTCAAGCCCTAAGAGCTGCCTTAGGGCGGGTCTTGGGTTGGTTTTGGGGGGTGTGCGGCTGGTTTTTGGCAGGTACGTGAGTTTCGGGCTAGTTTTGGTGCCTTTGGGGCAACGCTCCAATACCAACAAACCAGTCCGACACTCACGTCACCCTAAAGCAATCCTAAAGCCACTCAGCAGCACATTCCGAACCCACCCAAAGTCAACCCTAGATTCATCCAACAGCAGCCCTTTGCCAAGCCCAAATGAACCCCAACCCAAGCCAAGACGTCATTAAGATCTAAGCCAGCCGAAGCCTAAACCAGTCCTGAGCAAGTCTCAGCTGCCACCAATTCAGAACCGACCAACCAACCGACCGACCGACCAAACGACCGAAAATGCCAGAGCTAGCATTCAAAAAATCCCACCTCATCCCCACCCCAGCCCTGTCAACAAGACGGACCACGGGCTCCCGCCAAAACAAGAAGAACGCAACTACCACCCCAGCCCGTCGAAGGAAAACGTTCGAAGCTCAGCAATGAAACAGCGAGGCACCAGTACAACGCTCCCCAAAAACCGCTGGGAGCTACAAGGCCACCTCTGCCCAAAACCACACCATCACCTCCAAAACCAAAACCTCCCAGAAAAAGCGAGAATTCCGTGGAGCCATCTCCACAAGCCTTGGGGGCGATCATCAGCTTGGCGCTGACCAGCTCCGGGGCCATGATCTCCGTGGTGCCCACGCAGGACCGCGCCATGGTCCCCGTGAGGCTCTTCGCCACCCCGAAGTCGATCAGCTTCACCGGGGTGCTGCCCGTGAGCTGCTGGCCGCACACCAACCTCGAGTTCTTTGCTTCACATCTGTTGGTTCTGTCATTGGTTCTGTCGTTTTTGGGGCGACCCCTCAAAATGGTGTTTCCTTTTGGCTTCCCTTTTACGGCACACCCACTGGTTCTACAACAAGAATATGGTTCAGCGCCAACAAAAGTAGTTTATTGCCCGGGCCCGAGCCTTGAAAGAAACCGCCTGAGCTGGCCGGCGTGCGCCGACAGAGGGCAGCAGTTCCCCAGTTCCCCAGCCTTCCAACACGACAACATGTCCCCTCGGAGAACCCGCTGCCTACCACGCAACATGTGCTGTGCTCTAAACCACAGGGTTTTGCCAATCTTCAAACGGGGTGTGCCACCGCCTCAAGCAGCAGCGCAAGAATGGAGCTTCCTGGTTTTTCTTGGTCTATCAGCCCCCAACCCCTAAACACCACCAATTTCGCCCAGATTTGGTGAACCTAGTGCAAAATTAGTCCAAAAAACATGGGCGCTACCCCCTCTTTTCTGGCTTGAAAGGCAAGCGGAAAGGAAAACCGAAAGCCATTCTTGGGGGGCGGTCTAAAAAACTAAACGACGAGCCACCCAAGCATTCTTGTCGCTTCTTCTTTTTTGCATCCGAGCCACACATTCTCCGCCTTGAAGTCTCGGTGCACCACGTCCTTGTCGTGCATGAACTTCAGCCCGGCCGCGCACTGCTTGGTCACGTTCTTCACCGCGTCCTTTCGAACGTCGCTGCTCTTTTCGATCGTAATCCGAGGGATGATGTCGAGGATACCCTTGGGGGGTCTTTTTTCAATTCAAGCATACCCTTTTCGGGGGTCATTTTGAAGGGATTCAATTCAAGGATACACTTTTTTGGGAGGATTCAACAGGAACCGTTTCAAGAGAACCCTTGTTGGGAGGGTTCAAAGGGATTTGTTTCAGGGAGCTTCGAAGGGACTTGGTTCACGATCATTCTTTGGAGGTTGTTTCAAGGACACCCTTTCTGGAGGTCTCAGGGGTGTTAGGTTGCAGGGAATTCAAAGGGGAACCACCCATTTGGGGGTGTCCTGCTGGAAGACACTCCTGCGTTATGAAACACCCAAGCCAAACCTCGTGGAAGGTATCCGGGATTAGAACAAGATCAGGTGTGAACTTTAATAGGTGAACCTTTGGCGGACGGGATTCATGCCCACCAACCACTTTGAGGTGGTTCTTTCTCTTGCAAAATTCATGGCCATTTGAAAAGGAGCTTTTTATGCGTGACCCGCGAGAGAAATATGGTTTTGGGACCTGCAACAGGGTTCAGCTTCCCTGAAACTGGTGTAGGTTGGGGGGATTCTGATTCACCCTCCAAGTATGAAGGGGGTCAAATCCCCAAACCACCCATCCAAACCACCAAATAATGCGGTTTCCCCGGTACTTAGAAAATGTGTGCTGTTCGCTCGTGTGCTTCAATGTTCTTTTCCAAGAAACCTGAACAGCAGTCCCATAGCGGATGTTCCCATGTGCTTCGGTGAGTCGGTGTCCCCAGCCCCCAAATTGACCGAGGCTTGGGCGATGCGCCGTAGAACATGGTTCAAAGCTCTCTTGCCTCAACCTCCTTTTGGGTTCCTTTGGTTCTTCCGACCAGTTTCTTGTTTTGCTTCACTTGGGTGATTTCCTCAAAGGATTCCTGAGGGAAACCAGAACCAGCTACCTGGATATCTTCTGACTGCCCCTCCTCCGGCAGAGAGTTCTGGCCATCCTTGATGAACCCGGCCAGCTCACCTCACTGACGTTCCCTTGATTTGCTTGGCCAATTTATGCTTAAGCGCATTTTGCCAACCCCGTTACAAACATCATTTACGTCAGGGTTCATGTCCATTGAAGGGTTCGCTATTGAGTATCCTCCCAAAACTGGGTGGTTCCCATTTTTGGTTGGCCCATGTCTGGTGTCCTGATGGTTTCCTTCTCAGTGCCGTCCACAATCCACAGGGCCAGGTTTGAGGGCGGCTCTTGAGGTGGTTGGTTTCCTTGTGGCTCCCTTTCACACCTCCCAAACAGGAGTTCTGTCTAAACGCCGCCACACATGAGACTTCAAATCCGCAAAACGTGTCCGTTCTGTTGGGGAGGGTGGGAGGACTGCACCAGACCCCTAAAGGGAAAATTTGCCGCCCATTCTCGGAGAGTTTGAAAGGGGCACCGAAACATGAGTTCCAAACAAGTGCTCCGCACTTCGAAATGACTAAGCCAAACCTTCCAAAGGCTGTTCCAAACTGAAAAAGTCTCCCTCTCGAAGAGTGCCCCCGCACCCCACCCACCCACCTCACCCACCTCACCCACCCCACCCCACCCACCCCACCCATCCAAACCGGTGGGGGGGGGGGGGGCGTTCGGATCTTCGTCGCCTCCGTCGATGAGCTCCATCACGATCATGATGTACTGGGCCTGGGAGGTGCCGGGCCGGAAGGCGTCGAAGCAGCCCAGGCACTCGCAGATGTTGGGGTGGCCCTGGATCTTCATCAGCACCTCGGAGTCCACGAGGATTCGCCCCACCAAAACCCACAAAAAGATGAGCCGATGAGCCATGGTCTGTCTTTTTGGGGGTGCCAACCCACTTTTGGCTACGAGAAAAAACGAGAAAAAAAAAGAAGAAGAAACAAAAGGAAAAACAAAAACGCCGAAAAGCGCCAGCGTGTGTCTTTTTAGTGCGGGTCCCATGTTAAACCACACAACAAAGAAGCCTGGAGGTACCCGAATCATGAAAGCGGACCATCGTCAGGCTTGGCAAGACTAGTTTCCGTGGGAAGCCCCCACGCTTCCATTGGTGGAAGGAGGAGGGTAGGTACCCTTGAGATTTACTCTCCAAACCAAAAGCATGCGGCAAATGGGCACCCTTTCTGGGTAGACTTTGAAGGGAAACCCGTCACTATCGCAGAGAAAACGAGGAACCTGCCCGTTTCATTGCCCTGACATACGCTGGTTGGAAGTGCGAAAAGGCGCCTCCGTCTCCTTTCGGATGGTCTTAATCTTCTCGTCGCAGGAGGGGTCCATCAGCAGACGCCAGATGGGGATGGTCTTCACCGCATGCTTCACGTTGGGAGTGCTCCTCCAAAGCCCAAAAAGCTGTGCCCCCGGCCGAGCGTGTTGGGAGGCACAAGCTGGTGCAACCAACAAATCAACAGCCAACAAACACGACATCCTAACACAGAAAGGCCCGGGAGTGGCCTAACCGGAGGGCTGGCCGTCTCAATACTGACCAAGTGGATTCACTGACCGGCACCCGTCCTCTTGTGGCAAAGGTACACGGTACCCTGGCCGCCCACTCCGAGGACCTCCATGGCGCCGGACAGATGCGCGGCGAAGCGGGGCTCCCAAACTTCCCAGGTTGGCAAAGAAAAAAAAAGGAAGCGCCAAACGGCGGTGGCCTTTGTCGAAGGTCCTCTTCCATGGAAGGGAGGAACCTGCTTTCCACACAAGGAGGCCCCCTTGGGCCCAAAAGTTGCTTCTTTTTTCCGCCCCTTGGTGGCCTGGCGCTAAGGTCTGCTCTTTTCACACGAGGCTAAGTAAGCAGCGCCCACTGGATCTACCAAGATGGCATCCAGGCTTGTATGAATGTGTATACATAGTACATACTTCGTTACTTGCATATGTGTGTGTGTGTATCTACATATCTGTGTACATTTGTTTACACACATGCGGGACAAACTGCTTGAAGCTTGCAGACTGAAAGCAGGCTTGATTCCTTATGACCCTAAGGTTGCTCCTTGATCAAAAGAAACCAAACGAAATCAGACCTGTTGCCCATGTTTGGGGTTCACGGGACGTGTATATGTTTTGTGGCGGCGAACCCCGAATCACTCAATCCTGGTTGATTCGAAGGGAGTCTTGTGTCAGAGGGAATCGGATCACTTGCGGGTGTTCCCCCTCCCCGGAAAGCAAAACAGAGTCTGCGACCAATCGGCCCTTTCCGCGAGCCTTGTCCACCTCGATCTGGAAGGGATCCTCCGGAGGTCCGAAGGTGGCGAACTGTTCGATGGAGCCCAGTGCCTGCGTCACCACCCGGGAGCTTCGCTTGGTGCGAGTCCCGCTGCCTGCGCTTTTTTGCGACGCGAATCACCCAATGACTTTGGGCACCGTGGAGGTACAGGTTGGCTTGGAGATCGTTTTCCTTTTGATGCTTCTTTACAACCACCAAGAAATGGCCCCAAAGAAAGACACCATTTTATTTGGGCCCACCCCCATGAAAGGCAGTGGAACCGCCTGCGGTTCACGGACGAGAGGGAAAACGGGCGCTCATTTGGTGGAATTCGAAGGACGCTTCCACTTGACGACCGATAGTCTCTACGGGTGGCTTGGGTAGTCAATGGAAGACCGTAGCTCTGCCTCTGCAAAGGGGAAGAATCATTTTCCCGAGCAAGTCGGTTGACCTTCGGCCTCGCTTCTTCGGAATTTGTGGATGTGCTAAACCGGTCCCATGTCAGGCGCCTCGGGACAGGTAGGCTCCCACGCACAGCGCGGCGCCGGCATAGGCCGCGTTGGAGCCGCCGCTGGGCGCGGAAGCCGCCGCAGGCGCCGCTGCCGCGGCGGCGCGGGGCGCCGCGTGGGCGCCGGCGGCCAGCGGCGAGCCGACGAAGGCAAGGGCCATGGCGAGATGTGAGGAGAGATCCGGGAGCCTGAGCCGAGCAAACTCGAGAAACACTTTTGGGAGACAAAGTCTCGGGGAGGAAAAAAAAAAAACAAGGAGGGCAGGCGCGCGAGGTAGGGCGCCTCAGATCTTTGACGTGCGGTTCCGGCTCTTTGGACGCAAAGGGAAAGCCTCCCTTTCGCAATTCCAAAGGCTTTGGACACGAAAAACCTTTCTTTGAAGCCCCTGACTTCACCCGGTGATTCCCCGATTCAGTTTAAGTAAGAAAATGTGCAAGCGAAGCGAAGCTTGATCCTCCCAAAACTGAAGTGTCCGACCTGCGTTGCGGATGCGCTTCGAAACATAAACCTCGTTTTGACACCGGGGCCTCTTGGCCCAAGACAGAGGCCCGCCCCAAACTCGACCAAACCTCAAAGCGTTTCACCGCACGGTGCTTCCCGTCTGGAGGGTAAGTCTTTGAAAGACCTGCTGAATGGCCTGAAAGGGAAATCCATAAGGAACCCGCTGCCACAACGGAAGTGGAGGCAATCCTTCACTGGGGAGGACCCCAGATCCGCAAGGTTCCAAAACATGAGTGGGCATTCAAGATGGGTGTGGTTCATCCAAATACTGTGCACGGCCAAAATCCTGCACCAGCTGGGATGGACAAAACCTCAGGAATATTGGGGTGAACTGCAGGATTCTGTCCATCCACAGGGCCCTTCCCCCCAAACAAAAAGTGGCTGTGGGTCAAAAATAGGTACCCAAAATGGAAACCCTGGCAAGTGGAAACATGGATCAAAATCTGCGGTCCCCTGGTGGTCTATTTTTGCCCCACACCCAAGTAGCTTTCCGCGTTGCCAAAACCTGCAAAGGGCATAGCTCCAGCGCCCAAAGCTCAGCGCCGAGCCGGCGAGCGTGAGGGGCTGGCCTGGCACATAGACGGGGATCGGTCCTCGGCAAATTCACCTGGAGCCATCTTTTGGATGCTTTTAAAGCAAATTCACCTCGGTCTCTTTGACCGTCCATTTGCCTGGATTTAAAAAGAAAATGTCCAGTAGTGATACATTCCCTTTAAAACCAACAGGGCAAAATACAAATGTTCTTAAGCAAATGGAAGAAACGCAACCCCCAAAAGTGCATCAGGTGCGAACCCGAATGAGCTATGACATGGATTTTCTCAAGGGAGAAGGGTCGCCACAAAGAGATTCCTCTGAAATGATGGTGGATTCCACGCTAATCCGCAGGGGAATAGATTTTCAAGCTGAGGGAAGCAAGCATGATATTGAGAACCGCTGAGAAAGCTGAGATTCCGAGAACAAAAATCGACGAGGAGCCATTTATCAGCGGTTTAGATTGGGCACACACATGCGGCTTGGGATGCGGCGAAATGCATCAAAAACTGCAAGCAACAAGCACATAAATGGGGGTCGAGAAGGGGTATGCTTCACCGGGCAGTCACTGCCAATAAACTTCCAAGCTTCTCACGTGCAAGATAAACTGCCAATCAACATTTTGATAGAGGACACCTCATTGGACAAATGGAGACTGTTGCCCATTTGCAGTCTGTATTCCCCACTTGATCCAGCTCACCTCCATCCATCCCATCCGACTCGCTCCTTTGATAGATGTGTCAGATTCATCCAAGTGAAATCACCAAGGTGCCGAAGTTGGGCACCCAAAAGCCGCGATGTGCCACAAGAAAGCTATGAACAAACTCCACGGGGAGCCCTACTTTGGGACATGCCCATCCCCCTCAATCCAAGGCCGGGTCCCGATCTCTATCAATTGCATCGGGGCTTTGCTCAAGTGGGTGTGTGTGTGTGTGATTCAGTGATCTTTGAGGCTGGCGTGGGAAACGAGGAAACCAATCATTTTGAGGGTCCCCGGCGTTTGACACATACTTGAGCAGATGCTACATTCTGCTCGCCCTACCCTTTGGGCGGCGGAAACCATTTGTGACCTTGGCATTCCCACGCTCCTCCAAGTAGATGGCCAGGGGTGGGGGGGAGAACTGAGGCCATTGTGGCAGATTGTGGAAAGAAGGTGGGTGTGGCAGGGCAGGCACTATGTCTACAAGGCATGCAGCCTCGTGGAAGGACAGAAACACGCAGGGCACAGGCGTCAGCTGGGACTTTTTTGTGTGTGACCGGCCCAGGCAAACAAAGCTCCAGCTACTCCAGCTTCGTCGCCTACCCTAATCGTCTGCGGTGTGCCTCAAATTTCGGAGACCCTCAACGGTTGGCTTCCTTTTCGCTTCTCCTGAAAACCAGCCAAAAGCAAAAAAGGGGGTGCCCCAAAACAGGACGAGCCACATCTCCAAAGTCGTCTCTCGCGCACACCGACTCCCGTGAATCCACGACTCTTGAGCGACGCACACCGAGCCTCCTTGAAGGGGATCAGCTGTAAGGTCGCCATGACACACCAAGAACAAGAGCACGGCTGAGCCAACGCGAAGGCGAACGGCTGCTGAAGCGACAAATGGGTGTGCCTATTGTTAAGGGCTACCCATTGTTTGGTGGTTTCAAAGGAAACCAAAAGGAAAACCGGAGCCGTTTTGGGGGGCAAAAAAGAAGAACCACTCCCAAATGAAAAATCTCAAGTCCCGGGTTTCAGTTGGGACCGTCCTTATTACAAAGGTGGGAGAGAGTGCCACGGGCACAGACAACCAACACGGCCACCGAAATCAGCCATCTGCATGGCTATGAGTTTCTATTGCAAATGTGGTGCTGTGGCTTTGAATCGGGTTGATATGGGTGTCCTCAATTCAGGGACGTTTTGGTTGCGGCTTCGAGCGGGAAATCACAAGAGAAGGTGATGAGTTGTAGGTCTTCTTGGGAGCAGACTGAAGTTCCGCTGGACATCCATGCCACGCATGCCGCGCTTTGCCCATACTGTACAGCAACATGCCGATGTGCGCAGTACGTTGGAACCGCCATGCTGGTTACTACTGTAAAGCTCATGTGGCAAACAGAGTCTCTGACTCAACACGTGGCCACACGGATTTTCCGATGTTTACCACAGAGGTCTTGAGTCAAAAGATAGTCCGACGTTTCTCTCAAAATGAGAGGACCCCAAAAAATAGCTGGTGTCCTTTTGGCTTCCCAACCAACCAAAAGGGAAAGGGGAGTAACCCCAAAAACACGCACACCCTGATTCTGCCAGTCGGTTGGCCCCCGCGCCTTCTGTTTCCTTTCCGCTCTTGCTGGCGAACTGGGCTGGCAATGCCAACCGTGCACGGGAAGCCTTTCCATCCCTCTGGGACCAAAGGAGTGCATTAACGACCGGAGTGGAGCTCCATGTGCGCCAAGAGTCTTCGTTTGCGGTAAGATCAGCATCCATGTCACAACTCTGATGGGCCACGGGCCCAGAAGAATCTTGATACAAGCCGTTGTCTAGATGTCCTACCAAAGTCCAAGTCCATAACCATAGCCCATCCAAATGGCGCGCCACCTAGGCATCTCAGCGGTCTGTGCCACGGATGCGCCTGCTCGCATCCGCCACTGCCCCAAAGGTATCCACACTCTTTTTGGGTGCGCTTTTAAGGGTAAGCGAAAGGAATGGAAAAATCCAATGTTGGAAAAGCCAAAAGGAAACCAAGCACTCGCAAGTTCCTGGCAAGTTGTCCATTCTCGAGAAATACCAGAAATCACGCCCAGGGCAACGACGGAGAGCGCGCTCTCCAGCGGCGTGCCTCTCACTCAGTGGGCCTCTGCTGCGAAGAGGAAATCGGCAAAAACAAAAACCCCTCAATGTTCCTCCACAGCCGTGCATTCGCTTTTCTTGAAAACGAAATCTTAAAATAGGGGGACCCAAAACTGAGTAACGTGTTCCTTTAAGAACTACCCACAAGAGGGGAACCCTCAAGACAAGACAGACACAACCGGACCTGAAAGCCATTCTCTTCAGTCTGGAGGACTTTCAGGCTCGCCCCTCCACAACGGGTGGAGCCGATGGCAACAAAACCTGGCGACTTACAAGGAACCGTATGCCACAAATGACACCTACAATCTAGGCTGGAATTAGGAGCCCAGCAAAAAAATATATTTTTTTGCCTGGTGAGTGGAAAACAGAGGGACCCCAAAAAAAGCAAAAAAGCAAAAAGGGGAGCTAATTCTGGGGAAGCAATCTAAGCCCCCCAAAAGAATGTGTTTTGACAAATGGGGGGCGTCCCAGAATGATTGGCGGAACGTGCGATTCATTATGCGAGGGGGCCCACTACAAAGGGGATCAAATGCGCACTGCAAATTAAAGATTCGAAGTTGCCTTTGAACAGCACCTGTTCGAGGTCTGTCAGGCTTGCGAGAATTGCTTCCCAATGTTCGGAGAGCAAAACGGCTCGTTCAAAAACGAAGCAGGACAACAAGAATGCTGTTTTGAGGAAAGGTCCCTGACCCCTTCCTAAGAGGTCAGCCAACCTCCCAGGTGAACAATCAACCCGTCATTCAGGTCGCTCATTTGAGGAGTCCCCCCCCCCAAACGAGCCCAAACCCAACTCGCAGTTGACCGAGTCTGACGGGGGCTTCCGCGCGGGGCTTCCGCGGGGCTTCCGCGGCCGTCGGCCGCGCGGCTTTTCGGGAACCCCTGAGACTTCCGCAGGACCAAGGGCATGTCGTAGGGATCCTCCGGTGGGACCCCCTCCAACAGGCTCTGGGCGTAGGCCTGCCAGGCTTTGGGCTTGTGAATTGCTTGATTGCTTGCTCGCTTGCCAGTTAGGTTCCCTGAGACAGACCCAACTGTCTCGGGTCACCCCCCTTTCAACGGAAGACAGGAACGTTGTGGAAGACTACTTTTGTGCAAAAGACAACTCCATCCACTTACATTGCTGGAAGAATAGCTTAGAAGCTGCGGTAAACATAGGATGACCATTGGTTGAAAAACCACTCAGATTCTAAGATGATATTTCAACCGCATGGGAAAAGTACTGGACATTTGGGTCGATCTGCCAGCACCATGCGTAGGTCCCCCATTCTAGGCCCCGTGCTTTTCGTTTGTTGCAGCACAATAGCAGCTGCTTGGCGCAGGGTTACCCTATCTGGTGGTCGAGAAAAGTGCCTGCCCCCCCCCCCCCAGAATTCTGGATCATATTTAGTGAGCCTGAAAGTGAACCGCGTCAACCTGTCCAACGGATGCATGAGGGCTGTTCAGTGAGTCACTGAACAGATCCGGCAAAGCTGGTGGCAACCCCCAGTTGGGTCGACTCATGGCTGTGGCTCAAATAAATGTACCAAAATGGCACCTTGGCGCATGCAACCAAAAACTGAAACCTGCGTAACCCTAAATCTTTAATTTTGAGCCACACCCTCATCTTTTGGATCCTCGATTGGAAGTTTTGCGCCTGGGACAAGAGCTGTCCCGACAGACGGTCCGCCAGGGCCGGGTGGTGCCGGGGCGCACAGGTGGCCTCCAAAACACGCCAAAGATGCGAGACGCGAGACGCTTCGGTGCTGCGAACGACCCTAAAATGGCGGTGGCTCAGCATGGAATCCCAAAAATGGCACCTTGGTATGGGGAGACAGAGACTAAAACCTGAATAACCCCAGCTCCATTTTGAGTCACACACAAATGGTGTCCCTTGAAACTCCAAACAGAAGAGGGTCCACCATTTTGAGGTATGTTGTTGTTTTTGGTTTCTTGGGTATCCTTCAGGTTGGATAGTGTCTCAAATACCCCATGTTGGGTTCTTCCCTTAGGTTGGGAAATCAAAGGCATCATGTTTGACCTCTTCCAACTGAAGGAACCTCCTTTAGATGTGGCTTTCCTTCCAATGGAGCCGTTAAACCACCTCAAAACGGGTGACCTGGTGTCGCCCACGACTGGAGTCCCACGAGGCCGGACCGCCCATGTGACGCGATAGGTCTGATCAAGGCGATAGGCACACCGGACCAAACACTGGTTGGACTTTGAGAGAGAAGCGTTGCTTGCTTTCGTCGAAGTGACACATGGGAATGCAACTCACTACGAGCTTCCGGCAGACGCAGGAATATTTGGCAATTGAAACTGGGTGAGGGGGGGGGGGCAAGGGCCCTACTAATCAGAGGCATTTCGCCATGCTTGGTTCCTCAACACCATACTTGCTGATTCCATAAGCAGGGAATGAAATGGAACCCCGGCTCATTCCCGAACCTCCACGAAGGATTCCCTGGTTCACAATATGTGAGGCTCTGCGCTGGGAGCGAGTTCTTTTGAAAGAAATAACTCGAGAATTTGGGTCTAAAGTGGCATCTGCCACATGGTCCTTTCCGATTACAAGGAGACCGCCCAACCGAATTGTGAGAAGCCTTCGAGATCTTCATTTTAAGGGCCCCTGACTCGACTGGGTGGGCTTCCCGCCAGCAGTGAATATCTTCCGCGCGGTTCGACGCCTGGTGCCCTGAGCAGAAGAAGACCCCCTCGCCAGAGACATAGAGGTCCACCTCTCGGGCAGGAAGGGCTCAAAGAACCCAAGCAAACAACCTCCCAAAAAAGGACCCCACAGACACACACACACACACACACACACAAGCAAACAAACAACCAAACAAGCGAAGAAAAAAGAAACAAAAACAAAAAACATCCAACCAACCGGGGAGAAAAAACAAAAACAAAACAACCAACCAACCAAACAAACAAACAAGCAAGCAAACAAACAAACAAACACAGACACACCACACACACACACACACACACACCTTGAGGAAGCCTGAAGCTCCCAAAACTGGAGCTGTGTGCTTTGCCGGCTTCCCCCACTTTGTTTTTGTAAGACCTGATACGGTTATGCCAGCAATCGGTGTGAATAAACCCCTGAAAGGTTGACATGGTATGCAAAGATACCTCTTTTGTAGAGGAGCCTCGTTATCGCTTTAGGGTTCGGTGTTAATCTGCAGGGGGGGTGGCTGCCAAAGCACCGGCCTTCTTTTTGTACGAATTGCTTCGGGTCACTGTCCTACCTTTGCACCAACCTCTTGGCGGTCGTTTCTAGCCCAGCTGGGTGTGTTGGAAACCGTGAGAACTCGACTATCACTGGCGAAGCTCAGGCATGTTGGCCACCTATGGACGAAAACCTGTGGGTGTCTCAACAATCCAACATGGCACCTGTGGTTTCGGGTACCTGGAAGATCTTCTTCCTTTTGCAGGGCCCGGGTCCCCGTCAGATGCCATGGAAACGTGGGAGGGACGATACCGAACCGCACCGGTCGAAATCGCTCTTCCAAAGCGGTCCAAACCGCAAAGGGGCGCCGGCCTGCTCGCCAGCATCCCGCGCTGCCCAGTCCTGGGTCAATGTGGGCGCTTCCGTGTTTCTTTGAGGGCACCCTTTTTGGGATATTATAAGGACACCCGTGGGGATTTGTTTGAAGGGAAACCGTGGTTTGCGCTTGTTGTGTCCTTTTGTGTGTTCAGGCAACCCTGTTTGGGATTCTTTGCCATTCCCAATAGTTTACCCTGAGCCGCATGTTGCTGTCAACTGGAAGCCCCTGTCAAAAAGAGAATGGGACTCGCTGCGGGGTGCTGGTGATCGTTTGTGGCAAACTCTGCTCGTGAGATATGCGCTGCTGCATCTTCATTGAACTCAATCCTGCAGGCCAGAAGGAAGACGACTTGGGCCCGGCTTGGACACTCTTCTCTCGAATGAATAAAACCAATGTGGGACTGTCCCTGAGTTTAGTGGGGAGTCACCAGTGGGGGGGACGTTCACCCATCCCCCTTCCCCTCCCCCCCTCCCTCGGTAATAACCCAGTTTCGTCTGGGGTCAACATGGACACCAACCGGGAAAACCGCCTTGCGCCCCTGCAATTTGGCTCGCGCGGCGGGGTGGCATCCAACCCTGCGCTGCACGATGGACTCGTAGACCTGAGCGGCGGAGCCATGAAAGCTGGTTCACTCAAATGGCGTGGGTGCGTCTTTCTGTGGGGAATCCCCAAAACGTTGCTTTTCTCCTTTTGGCTTTGATTCACGCCAACCCAAAATGGGTACCCTCAAATAAGCTCAACAGCTAGGTGCTGAAGGTCTAGGCTTTGTCTGCGCGTTGCGTCTCAGACTTCAATTCTTCACCTTACACTTGGCCTGCACCAGACCGCCCCGGAGCCTCCGGAACCTTCCTTGAACCTTATACCTGGTACCCGGAACCTCCGGAACCTGCCTTGAACCTTACACCTGGCCTGCACCAGACCACCCCGAAACCTCCGGAACCTTTCTTGAACCTTTCACCTGGCCTGCACCAGACCACCCCGAAACCTCCGGAACCTTCCTTGAACCTTACACCTGGAACCTTCCTTGAACCTTACACCTGGCCTGCACCAGACATCCCCGGAACCTCCGGAACCTTGCTTGAACCTGACTCCAGAGCTCCCCCAAGCCACCGCCAAACCTTATCTGGGTTGAGACCCCTTAGCTTTCAGCTGTTGGGGAAAATAGACACACCCAATTGGCATGGAATTAAACAGTTCGCGTTGCCAGAGGCTGGTGTGACCGCTTTGCGGCATCTCGCCTCGCTTGATTGCTGGCCCGCCTGAGGTTTATTGTGACCTTCCTTCCGAGGATTGGCTTTCAACACTCAATTCAAGTAGCAGCTGGAAGTTGGAAAAAGATCTGAATGCCGATACACCATGAAATACCGCGGTATGTACAAACAAAGGCGCTTGAAGTCTAAAACTGCCTGTGCGTTGTGCAACTTTGAACATCCCAGGGGAAAAATGGGGGGGATACAAACATTGGATAGGTGCAAAATGATTGAGAACCTCATGTCTTCTTTGGGACCATCTTGGAAACAATGACGGGGCTGACCTAGTTTGGCCGCTAGCAACCGCATGCTTCGAACCAGTGCCGCCGAGCCCCCCAAAAAAAAACACAGAAAAAAAGGGAGTTTGAAGGCACCACCAATCGACACACCAGGGGTCTAAGGGAGAATTGTGGCCTATGCTTGCTTAACTTTGTGACGGATTCAATCTGGTCCATGAGAGGACGAGAAGAGATGTAAAGGTCCTTTCTTCTTGGCAGAAAACCAACGGAAGGTGGCGGGGGGACTGCTCCTGCGATTTCTCCAGATTCTGTGCCGACCCTCGAAAAAGGAAAGAAAACACGGAAAACACACATGAGGTTCTGTCACTTTTGAGGGTAACCTTTGCGGGGGTGTTTTCAAAGGAAGATAAAAGTAAACCGATCATGAGGGTTCCATTTTGAGGCACAACTGTCATGGGGGTGTTTTAAAGGGAAATGAAAAGGAAAAACAAAACAAACAAAAAAAGCGACCATTTGGAGGGCCCCATGTTGAGACACACACCAAAACCTTCCCCAAACTCCCGCACATTCCGTGGGCCAGCGGTTTATTCAAACTCGGCTCCTGGCCGTCCAGCGCGCCACGGCGCGGCAGGCGCCCCCCACCAAGGTAGTGACCTGCACGGGGGAGTTTGGGGGTCGGTTCACCTAGGGGGCATGAGAAAGTTGGACCCACATGGCGGGTGTTGCTGTTGGATTCCTTTCAAGAGCAAGCTTGAAATGGGCAAACAAAAACATAGATACACCCTGTTGTTTCCAACCATCGTGCTTTTCAACCACCCAAGGCTGAGACACTGCTTTACTTGGAACTTTGAGCTTCAAGACGAAGCTGGAGACTTCCTTTGCGTGGCCATGCTTTGTCGTGGATGCCCTCGCCCTTGTGACATACAGAGCAACCATCTGTGAGCAAAGATCCAGCAAAACGACCCTCGAGGGCAATGCTCGCCACAGTTACGAAGTCATGGTGACTCTTTGGGAGACCACATCTGTCCTTTCGCTCAAGGCTCATCTTTGCTTGCCGAGGCTGCCAACAGCTCAACCTGGGTATTCAGCAAGTGGACATGGACCCTGCGGTTGAACATACGAAATAGGCTGGATCTTGTCCACCAACCATTCTTGAGGGTCTTCCAACTACTCAACGTCATCGCCACACCGGTCAGGTTCCCCGACCAGCCAGGGCCCAGCCGAGCCCATCAGCCCAAAGATCCAGGGGGCAGGCGGTCTTTTTCTTCAGGTAGAGCTCAATGTACCGGATCCTTGCCATGGGATACACCTCCAACAAACAGGTCCCATATGACCAAAAGCGACCTTTAGGTTGATAGAGGCTCGGGCCAAAAACGATTGGGTGGGGAGGCCAGGTCCGGAGTCAAATTTTCGCGCAAAAGTCCTTCTAGACTGCACCCAATTGAGGGATGATTTTAGCAGGTGATGCAGGGGATGCAGGGTGCATCCCCTGTCTTGTGGGCAATGCTGGTGTTGCTGGTGTTGCTGGAGATGTGATGCCGGCGTGCTCGTTCTACTGGCATTGCTTATTGTTTGAAGGCTCGGGACTCTGGGAGTGCACTGTTTGATCTGATTGTACATGCAGGTCTGTATCTGTTGTTTGTACTTGTGCCTATGTTGAACACTTTGTGAATATAGTGTCTCTAAATGTTAGAAACAACTCTTATGGAAAGGAAATGATGTATAAAGTTTAAGTTAAAACCGAAAAAGTATCAAAGTTTATGTTTCACCCACACACAAAAAACTAAGAAAAACAAGAATAATAAAAAACAAAGTAACATATATTTAAATTGAGTTGAAAATTGAGCAGATTTGATACACGTATTAAGTATACTTTCAAAATGTGTGCTTTACCTCGTGTCAAGCACAACCATGGTGAGAAAACATCAAAATAAAGTCTGTATGTTGTAGCACTTCTTCGTACTAAATTCACATCATCACCAACGGCCGCTCTAAAGAAACCCACTAGAATTTGAATAGAACTTAAGTAGGACTCAATAAGGAAAAGCTTATTCCGAATCCTATTGGAGCCTCCATCTTAACATTGGAATTGAGACAGAATTCCTTGCCAAATAGAACTTTACAATTCAAATTGTAGTTTAAATACAATTCAATAAGGAAAGAATCGGCACGGTGAGAGGCTACCTCTTGAGAAAGTGTCGTAGGAATGGTGCGTGTTTGGTGTTTGAGTTTCCTGAGTTTTTGTTGTGTTTGGCGTTGGGCAGAGCTGATCCTGGAAAGTTTGTCTGGTCATTGCTTTGTTTAAACAATAATGCAAGAAAAGTGTTGTCCTTGAGGTTTGTTGACTTCTTTAGAAACCTGGAAATGCCTTAGAATTGCAGAAAAGACTACAACTTACATAGACCCAAACAAGCAATAGAAAAGACTGCAATTTACGCAAATCCAACTGAAAACACAGAGAAATGCACTCCTGCAGACCCCTTTTGAGAATCTGCGCGCACTGATAGCCCCCCGCTTTCCGTTTTTCCAAGCTGGCTCGCGAATGGATATGTGTCAAAACACGCGGCTCAAAACAAGTTTAAGTGTGTGCATCTGCGCGTCTTCCCTGTGGGTTGCCTTCTTCACCCCAAGGTGAGAAGGGCACCCTCAAACCTCGCGTTGGAGGCCAAAGCTCCATCTGGGAGGAAGCCTTCCCATGCCCATGCCCATCATCCGCCCAGGTCATGGCACCAAAGGGGTCCCAATAAAAAGCACCAGGGCCGCGGCTGCGATTGAAACGAAACGCGTTCTGGTCCCCGTCGACCTTGAAACGGCTTCACTTCGGGAGCAGAGGCGTCCTGCGGAAGTTGTCCAGCACAAAGAGGTGAAGGCCTACGAGCGTTTTTCACAACGAGGGTTGCTTCGGAATCAGAAACAATGGGAACCCAATTTTAACAAACCCCGGATGATGTTCATGCCCCCGTTTGGTGGGGGGTTCGAGGGCAGGATGGGTTTATGAATCCAGGTCAAGGTTACATGGTTGGAGTCACCCAACCTTGTTGACGATGTTCCCGAGTGTCGACTTTGGTCGCTTTTTCCAGGTCAGAGGCATCCCCATCCCAAAAAAGGGGAAACATTCCAAGTTCGCAAGGTCCCCACGGATACATCCAAAGTTGACAGTGAAACTCGAACCACGAAGTGCAGAAGGAACATCACTTTGGAACCAAGAGGGGAAATTAAAAAAACTTCTTCAGCCGCAACGCCATCTACGGTCAACCCATGCGTCAAAACCGTTGGATTTCTGAGAGAAACCGTGTTTTTAGGTTCCCCTTTTTGTAGGACGCACCCATTTGAAAGGGACATCAATATAGAAGTGACCAAAACTTTCCCATTACTTGTAAGGCAGCAAAGCCATGGTAAACCTCCCTCGGCTTCAGTGAATCAACTGCACTTCCATGTGAGTGTACGCCGCGGCCTCCATCTTCTTCCAAAATGTGTGTGTGTGTGTGCGCGTCTTTTTCTTTTTGAGAAATACCCCCGTTTTGTGGCTTTCAAGGGAAACCAAACCGGAAAAACCCCTTTTGCGGCCACTGGGTCCACATCCACGCGCCGAGCCGAGAGCGCGATCTCGCCGCGCCGCGCCTTCCGAGTCCATGCCCAGGCTCGAGGGCTGCCGGAAGCGCGCCTCCTGGCCCGGCCTCGTGGCGGTTTCGCGGCGAAAGGCTCAGCGGCTAAGCGCTCGGCCCTGAGCGGAGGCGTGGAGCCATGGATGATCTTTTCCCTTAACCAAGGAACCCAATTGATCTTTTTCCCTCAAGGAACAACCAGCCAATGGGATTGATCCCCCGAGCTCAACCTACCCGTACCTCCTCCTTAGCAAAAGCGGACTGGCTTTGAGCCGTGGACCAGACGATCTTTTTCCCCAGGAACCAAAAAAACAACACGTCGGGCCTGGAGAGTTCGAAAACTGCACAGTGATCTGGATCCAGCATGCCAAATTCGAAGGCACTCGCACGGCTCGTTGTTGACCGAGGAAAAGCAAAGGAGCCTCCCGAATCCCAGCACTCTAGATTGAAAGATCCTCTGCTAAACTGTGTGGCTGTGCCGGTGGGACACAAAAAGCCTGACCACTCGGTTTGAGATCGCCAAGCTCGACAACCAAGTGCTCCCCACTGATTGGAACCCAGCTTAAAACTCCCCAGGCTTGGGGCCGATTATTCACCGCCCCCGCAGACGTTCCCTCAAATAGGGCGCCGCGCCCATCCTGGAAGCCAGGGGTCACTGGGGAGCCTGAGGCGAATCACGACAGCCGCGGTTCGCTGCCTGGGGAAGAAGGCCATGCCCCAACCGTAGCTTGGTGGTCCGGCTAATGAGAAAACTGCCAAGCAGGGAACAACCCTTGCCATCTCAACAGGCAGGGAAAATCCGTCAGGCATGATTCCTCGATTCCTTGCTGAAAGTGGGATATGTCATAATTCCCTGTCTTGGAGCATCTGAGAGGGCAGGTGACGTACATCCCATCCCGTCCCAGATCACCTTCAAGTTCCCTTCAGTGAATTTGGAGTGAAAAAAAACTATGCAAGATCTGCCATGGAAAGCGAGACCTGACCCCAGCCCCCTCTCTGCGCTTGGGTCCCTAGAGAGAAGAACCCAGCATTGACCCGCTGCCTCAAGTAAACAGGTTCAGAACAGTCCCCTATACGACATGCAACATCTTGGTGTCCTGACCCTCTAGATCTTGTGCTTGGAAGTCGAAGACCTGCTTCGGCCCTTCTAGCCACCCCGCGATTGCACTATCAGACAAGTGTTGCTGCGCCTGTTCTATAGCATCTCTCACACTGGTTTTCGGGCTCTGCTGAGAGACGCGAGCCGGATTCAACAGTCCAGAAAGAGCTCCCGGTTCATCCCAAGCCCTCAACCCGTCCACAATTGGCGCTCTAGTGTCACTTCCATTTGTTTCAGGCCACTTTTTGTTTCTTGGTTTTCACAACTGGAAACGGGCGCTAACTTTTCCAGCTCACCTAAACCCCAAACCCCATGCCTCTAACCACCCGACCCTGCCTGCGATGGTGGCGATCCGCCCCGAGTCGTAGTTCACCACCCGGATGCAGTGGTTGCCACCTGGGTCATGGGCGCAATTTTTTGGCATGAGAATCCTTCCAAGAATGGGCCTTTAGGGGAAGAATGCACAAATGATAAGGATTTTGCACCTTGACACCGGAGAAGGCGAAGATTGAAAAGCCGAATCTGACCAATACCCTTCCTCCCACTAACATAGCACCTGGGGCGTTGTACCTGGAAGATCAACTTTTGTTTAAAGGGACCGGGTCCCAGTCAGGTGCCAGTCGCAACGTGAGAGGGAGTTATTTACTCTTCATGGTGCGGCGTCCTTTCCATCGTAACACGCCTGCGGCGTTGCGAGATGTGTCCCGTGCATGTGTGACCCCAAGGTGGGAAGAATCCCATGCAGCACGGTGAAAAGCGAAAAACTGCGATTTTAGTGGAGAAGTCCAGAATTCGAAAACGAGACATGGCTCTGTCTGTTTTTGAGGCTACCCTTTTCGGGGTTTCTATGAAGGGAAACCAAAGGGAAAACAAAGGGAAACCGAAGGAAAACCGAAGGAAAACCGAAGGGAAACCAAAGGGAAACCAAAGGGAAACCACTTTTTTGTGGAATCCCCTCAAAAACGACAGGGCCTCTGGCACTTCCCATCAGGTCTCAAACTCAAACTGGACAGAGTGATGGGTGGTTGCGGAAACGGAGAATCCCTCAAACAGGGTGGTCTCTTTTGAGTTCTCGGGAGTCACAAATGGCTGGTTTCCTTTTGAACACCTGCGCGCAGCGTTCTCTCTCACATGAAACACTCAGAATGACCAGCTCATCCACGTTGTTTTTCCCTCCTGCGCATGACTGTGTCCTCGTCGTCTTGCCTCCGTGCTAAGCCGTCAACAAAGTGGGCCTTCTCAGGGAAAGGTGAGTAAATGTGAAAAAACCGTCCAACCATACCCTTTGCTGGATTCAATTGTGGCTGGTACAGTGTCGTTCAACGCGTGCTGCTATTGAGAACAAGCAAGATCATTAAAACCCATGTCCGCACGATATTATGATGCTTCCGCGAAGGGTTGTTGCTTGCTTCAATCCCCCCAAGTCCCAAACCGAGCCCCCCATCAATTCTCTCTTCTAGGGGCGCCATCCAAATCTGGCAAATCACGACTAGGGAGAAGCAGCTCAGAGAAGTCCAGCAGCTCACGCGCGGCATCGACACCCAGTGAACAACGGAATCCGGCTGCTGGGCTGTTGCCACAATTCCAACAGAATCTGCAAAAGAAACTTTGGGGACGGGGTTCGAAACCATGGGATTTCCAACCATTTCTACCTGAGCTCGTGCACTCGTGCATGCATTGACAGCTGGAAGGTGTCGGAACCCATCGCGGAAAACACTTCTAAAGCAAAAAACCAAGAGGGAAACCCGTTGCGCCATTTTGGCGGGCCACAATGCAACCCCAGTAAATGGAAACATGGCCTAAACCCTGCGGGCCCTAGTGGCTTGATTTTGACCCATAGCCATATGAACATTCCAACTCACTTTGATTCATGCACCGAGGCGGCCGCTATCGGCGATGTAGAGCTTCAAGGGCTGGCCGGGCGGACGAACTCGAACGCGGGTAGGGCTTGCGGCTAGGTCTGAAATACTGGGCTACCCGAAACCAAGTCAGCCGATGTTCTCAGGAAGACCAAAAGATCAGAAGGGGCAGAGTGATGACGCGTGGAAACAGGGCGCCCTTTGCTCAAGGTCTGGCCATGCCTGTCCGAAGTTCACCTGAACCCCCTAAAGCATGGACCGCAAGAGTCTGAGCATCCAACAATGTATGTTCATACGCAATTTGCATTTTAGCCAACAGTCTACTACTTGGAAGTTGAAGGCGTGCAAAGCAGCATTGCAACCTCCCCTTGGCGGAAGAAAATCCATGCACCACGTGCGATCGTTCATTTCCCATTTGTTGAACAAATAAAGACCATGCAGACAATCTTGGTCCTGCATGACGAAGGCACCTGAAATTCTTGAGAAGCCAACCCATTGGTCGTGCTGAGTGGACTGGCCAAACTGCGCGGCCCTCAAACATGATACTGCCGACCATGCTTTCGCAAGCTCGCATCGGTCGCCGCGAATTATCCCGGACGGCCCATCCGATCGGATCGTTCCCCGACTCGGTCCCGCCCTGCGAGGGTCCATGGTGATCACCAGCCCCGAAGGCGCGTTGAAGCGGGCCTGCCATAAATGCCATGGCTGACTTTTTGGACCCAACCGACAAATGCAAATACTTGCAACGTGAAAGGTTGAAGCAAGGCTGACGTAGCATACGGGTAAGTGAAGTGAGTCAAGGCGAAGAAGTAGCAAAGTAGTGTCATGACAAGAAAGACAGAAATCAAGCAAAGAAGAGTAAACGACACGCAACAATCAAGCAAATGTGGCAGTTCCAGCTCGAAAGGTGCATTTGTTATCCTTTCAAAAACAAATTATCCTAGCAAGCGTTCCCAAATAGTGGTTAAAAATGATTAGACGGCATTGTGAGACAGGAGAACCCACGCAAGTACACGAAAGTAGCTGCAGCAAATGCCCACTTGCTTCTGTGCAGGATTCTCAAGGTCTTGCGCGTGCTCTTGACAGGATCTCTTGGCAAGATGCGCACAAAATCCTTGAGAGGGTCTGCACAACAGCTGCTGGATCTATGGTCGGATCTTTACAGAATCTTGGCAGGATCTCTGCACAAAATGTCTGGGCAAGGTCTCCTGGCTCCGTTCCAGGATCTTTTTGCCGTCGGCTTACTATGAGCCTCTTTGGTGCCACTTGAAAAGCCAAGTTTTTCAAGGATCATACCTCTTCCTTTTCGTCAAAGGATGACATCACACCCAGATAAAACAAGCGGGTGTCGAGCAGAGGGTTTGAGGTCAAGAAAAGTGCTGTTCATGCGACAACCTGCTGGGTAGGCAAGCACGGCATCGGGGTGTCAAGAAGATAGGATAGTTCTTTGGGGAGTGGATTTGGAAACCCGGACTTGCAGGGTAGATGTTACATGATGTTGGCTGTGATACTTCCCTGCAGTGGGTTGAAGCCGAAAGCAAACCGTTGGCATTGTCAGTGGGGCGGTTGGCAACTGAGAGACGCTTCACATGATCAATTGAGCCCGCCTTGAGCCGGCTCCCATCCACGTAGCCCGCCAGGCCCCGTGCGCCAGCATACTCCTGCGAAGACAGCTGGGCTAAGATATGTGAATTCCATGCAACCAAGCCCAACATTCAAGTGTGGGTGTGGGTGTGCTGTCTGTGCTGTCTGTGTTGTGTGGGTTGTGTGTTGTCTGTATTCTGCGTTGCTTTATGTGTGTTGTGCGTGTCGTGTGTTGTGTAATGTGAATTTGTGCGTGGTGTACGGCCAGGGTACCCTCCCAACAACAAACCTGGAACCCAAATTCGGCCCCCCCGCCCCCGCCCACCGAAGCCGAAGGAAGCGGTCCGTATAGAAGGCCGGCCAGCTCACGTAGCGGCTGGCCGCCTTCATCAGGAGCACCTGGCGACCCCATGGAGTCCCCAGCCCCCGAAAATGGGTCCTCTTGAATCGGGTGAGCCAGGGGAGACTCCGCACAACTCCGAAAATGCCAAGGTTGCAGAAAGGTCCGCTGCGGGATCTGGGTGCAACTTGGGACACGTGGACTCGCCGACTTTGCCGGAAGCTCCGAATGAAAATTGCAGAGAACGAAGAAGAGTGTGCGGGGAACAAAGAGCGTGCAAAAAGTTGCCGCTTCGCCATGTGGCGGAGTTCTCAAAGGCATCGGCCCCCTAAAATGAGCGGCTTCCTTTTGGCTTTTGTTAGGACACCTATAAAAGGGCCCAGTTTGAGAAACATCGCGTTCTGAGCTTTTTCGTAACCAGGCGAGCATTCAGGAAGTCTTAGCGTCGGACTTGCGGCATCAGACACGCAAGAAGCCTATGCTTCTGAGTCATACCTCAAGACCAGAACACCGAGGATTCGTAGCTCCCCCTCCCGGCATACCAAGCAGGCGGGAATTCGAACAACTCGCGTAGATCGCAGCGCAGACTTGGGGGGAAAAAACAACGATTCCCAAGCCAGCGAATCAAAGGCAAGTCCCGGCGCCGTTTGTGGAGCGCCTTTTCCTTCAAGGGCCAACTTGCAAACCTCTGCCATGTGCAAAAGTCCACGTACACTCTATCCCAGCTTCCTGTCTGAAAGGGGAAAGACCGCTCGGAATGGTGTCAAATCCCCGGTCCTAAATCCGCAATCACACCAACGTCCTTTCTGGCGTTCCTTCACGTGAAGCGGGGCTCCAACCAAGTTCCCATGCGGGTTGTGTCACAACTAGGGGATCCCCACATGGCGGATTTCCTTTGGTTCCGAGAAAAGAGAAACCATGCCCTTTGAAACCCATCCAAAGTTTGGCTCCGAGAAAACAAAAGAGACACGCCCGTGAGGCTAGCGCCTGGTGGTGCCGCGCGTCCGCGATCCAAATCCTCGGGAGGAGTGGATCGTGATGTGCTTCTTTACCCTTTTGGCTTTGGACGCTGGGTCAAGCAACAAACAACAGCACAAGGGGACTTGCGGGTGTCTTTTTAAAGGTTAGACCGCCCCAAATGGTGCCTTTTTGTCCTTTGGCTTGCCTTGAAAACCACCAAGAAGGGGTCTCTCAAGTACTTTTCTAACACTGTGTTCTTGAGGATTCTTTCTTTCCATCCTGTCTCGCGGCAGACAAAATGAACAGGTTTATGCTTCAACGGGGATTCCCTGCGCCTCACACAAAACCTCCGGAGAAAAAAAAAACAAAAAAAAAAAAACTAAACGGCTGGAGGTTCTGTCAGGCTCCATGTCACGTGAGAGGCTGGAAAGATCTTCCTAGTCCGCCTTCAGCCGCGCCCTGTCCAAGAGCCCGGGCTGTTGCTTGTCATCCACCACGGTCTGGGCAGGCCACAGCACCTCGCGTGCTGAACATCATTGGTGGAAAAAAGAGGGGGGCGGAATTGCCAAGTGCAGGTGCCCCTTGTTCAGGCATGTCAATCCACTGGTGCCAGGTCGAAATGCAACCCCTTCTTGAGTTCTGGATGTGTAATGCTGCCTTTCAAGCAGATCCGGGAAAGTTCGGGGCTTGCGCCTCACGAGGCGTAAACACGTCCAATGGGCCGTGGCTAAGCAGGGATGAGATACCCGATACTGGGATGTTTCTTTTGTGTCATGTCACACTTTGGATCAAAGCCCACTTGCAGACTAGTCAACGGTTGGAATCCCCACAATTTCAGGGATGGATTCGCACGGTCCGACCGTACAGGGAACGGTGACACGGGGAAAGCAAACTCAAGCAACGTCCAGCGTGCTCATGTCGCTTTGCTTCACATCATGGCCAATTCACCAGCTCACCAGCGTATGTGTCAAAATTGGGGAATGGCCGGCTTCGTCGGGCTTCCCTCTACCAAAAGCAGACTTCAAACAAGACACGACGCAAGTTGAAACCTTCGACCGGCTCACCTGGATGTACTGGCTGTAGCGGCCTGTCTGGTTGTGCTCCAGCACCCGCGAGCCCTGGTACCCGCTCGCCTCCATGGCATTAAATGAGTCTGCAACGCATCCAAGACCTCCAAAAAGCTACGCATGGTGCAGCGAGCTTTTGGCGCGCCAAACGGGGCAGTCGTTTTTCCGCGGGGGGGGGGGGGGGCCTGGGGCAGGCCCGTTCACCAACCACAAAAAGGGGAAGCCAAAAGCCGCATGGCCAAGCTCAGACTCTGCAAAACATGGATCCCTCAAAAGGAGTTTCCTCTACGAGTCCGAGTGACTCTACAAAGAACGGTCTGTTTCAGTGCCACATCTCCAAACTCGAGGGCCAGCCTCGCGGGTTTTCACACCGAGGCATCTACCCGTGCAATCCACACCGTGCGGCGTTTCTACGCCCGGCCTGGTAGTAACGGTTCTGAAAGCCCGGACTTGGATGCAGTCAGGCTGAAAACGTTCGCAAAAGGCAGGAATTGGCTAGGAACTATCCCGGAACCGCGCAACGAGTTGTCCTCGAAGACAAGAAGTGATTCTGTGGTTCACTGATCAGGAAGCGTGCAAGTTAACTGTTGCACCATCTGAAGCCAGGCTCATGTTGTCAAACGAAAGCAGCAAAAGACAAATTGGATGTCCTAAAGTCCGAAAGCATCGTTCTGTGAAGGTGGTTTTCTTGACAAATTGGGCACCGCCGAATTTCTGCTGATGAGCGAAACCCAGTCATGCGCCTACATGCAATAGCATGTCCACTTGCCTGCTTGGGAATCCCCAACCAACGACAAAATGAACCAAGCCAAACAAGACATGCCCTCTTGCCACAATGAAGCGGACGATCGCAGGGCTTTGCAAACTTACCTCTTGAAAAGCTGAGCAAGCAAGAGCCCTCTTTAACATGCCGCAATTCAAGAACTTCTGACCCCGGTGCGTCTCAAAAGCGGGGAATGCCCCGAAATCAGTGGTGTCCGTTTGTCTTCCCGTCAAACCCACCCAAAAAAGGCCCTCACAAAAACAAATGGACACCCCATGACCGAACCCCCCAGCCCGCATGGGCGTCCGCACTGCTGGAAGCTCTGCTGCCTTGGGGCAACAGTTTGGGCCAGCACCTGGCTCCGCTCAGAGAAGCAGAAGTTGCCGAGCTTTTGCATCCCCCCTACCTTAGGGGGGAGGGGGGAGGTCCCCCGATTCCATTTCTCTTCCCCGTGAAAGGGAAAATGGAACTATAAATGGAATTCCAGGGGTCACCCCCCTCCCCCGACTCCATTTTTAAGGAAGCGGGAATCTTTTGCCTTACCTCACGCGAACAGAAAACTCACTTGGCTGTGGGTCAAAACCCTGTACCCCTGGTGAACATCAAAATAGGTGGTACATGGGTGTTCACCCACCCCAAAATGGAGCCATTGGTTATTACCCATGGCCACTTTTACTAAAACGACCACTGCGATGATGCCAATAGATCTACAGGTTCTGCGCTTGGTGCAGTGGCTGGCTACTATGGCTTGTCACGCTGGCAACAATGTCGCTCCAATCTGCACCTTGTCTTTGCCTGGATATATAAGTCTGGGTGAAGCAGCAGCAGCAGCAGGAGCAGCAGCAGCAGCAGCAGCAGCAGCAGCAGCAGCAGCAGCAGCAGCAGCAGCAGCAGCAGCAGCAGCAGCAGCAGCAGCAGCAGCAGCAGCAGCAGCAGCAGCAGCAGCAGCAGCAGCAGCAGCAGCAGCAGCAGCAGCAGCAGCAAGCAGCAGCAGCAAGCAGCAGCTGCAAGCAGCAGCTGCAAGCAGCAGCTGCAAGCAGCAGCTGCAAGCAGCAGCTGCAAGCAGCAGCAAGCAGCAGCAGCAGCAGCAGCAAGCAGCAGCAGCAGCAGCAGCAGCAGCAGCAGCAGCAGCAGCAGCAGCAGCAGCAGCAGCAGCAGCAGCAGCAGCAGCAGCAGGAGCAGCAGCAGCAGCAGCAGCAGCAGCAGCAGCAGCAGCAGCAGCAGCAGCAGCAGGAGCAGCAGCAGCAGCAGGAGCAGCAGGAGCAGCTGCAGCAACAGCAGCAGCAGCAGCAGCAGCAACAGCAGGAGCAGCAGCAGCAGCAGCTGCAGCAGCAGCTGCAGCAGGAGCAGCAGCAGGAGCAGCAGCAGCAGCAGCAGCAGCAGCAGCAGCAGCAGCAGCAGCAGCAGCAGCAGCAGCAGCAGCAGCAGGAGCAGCTGCAGCAGGAGCAGCAGGAGCAGCAGCAGCAGCAGGAGCAGCAGGAGCAGCAGCAGCAGCAGCTGCAGCAAGAGCAGCAGCAGGAGCAGCAGCAGCAGCAGCAGCAGCAGCAGCAGCAGCAGCAGCAGGAGCAGCAGCAGGAGCAGCAGCAGCTGGAGCAGCAGGAGCAGCAAGAGCAGAGGCGGCAGTGTGGATGTATGAACCTGATGCAAGCAATCGCAACTGTTGCCGGCTGTTAGCCACACACCTGACTCAACACGGGTGCCTGGCGCGCAAGCAGCGTCAAGAGCCACCAGCGCCATGGCAAAGACGCGCCCATGAAAGCCGACTGGAATCGGTTGCTTTTGTGTGGCTGAAGCGGCGCCTGGTTCTTAGTTTCACCCAAGGGTCCGTGTCCAGGGCTTGTGTTATTCTATCTGTTCAATCGCCCTGACATGTGAAAAGCTGGTTGATCTGGAATGAAAGCCTGTGCCATGCTTGTCCGCAGCTGCTTCGTGAGACATCTTCTCATGCTTGGGTAAGGGGACTTGTCATTGCCCTGTCAACGAGGCTGCGGGCGTGTTCCCTTTCATCACCCACCAACATGCAACTCAACCGAAACTGACCCAAAAGGTGACGTTTCAACCAGGAAGGAACATGTGTGGACCCCCGATCTTACCTCTCCAACTCAACCTTCACTCCTCTGATGCTAACTCTTGCAACACGAGCAGCCACACAGGGGCCGAAAGAACACATACTATCTCTTACTTTGTTCCTATGCTACGAGCCCGACATGACTTGCTTCCCCAAGAGGACCTAGAAAATCGAGAAGTGCCTCTTGTTTGGTGGGACATTTAGGTTGTCCTACCTCCCCAAACCAACACTCTCTGGACGACATGGCTTACCGGAGATTCCACCTGAAGCTTCCCTCGGCATTTTGCGTCTCTCCGTTTGAGCGTCCGAAACGCCCCGGCAGCCAGGCACCGGGCGCATCCCTCCGCACCGGTCGCGCAGCTCGCGTCTGAAAGGGCCAACCCAATTCGTCGCTGCCATTGCCGGCCTCTTGCCGACACGCCGCAGACTTGCCGGGCATACGTGCTAGCCTTCAAAGGACCCGGCGAATCCACCCTTCCCGGCAAAGGAGTACCCCTAGTGGCCTACGCCACGGGAGAATTCAAACACCGTCAGGGAGTTCTCGGCAAATCTGGCTGTACCGAACTGCTCTGAAGGTGTTCTGAGGCCTCTCCGGCCAAAAAGTGCAGGGCTCAGAGCCCACGGCTAAGAAAAACCGGCCTCATGCTCCGGTGGTGAGGGGCCAGCTATCTGAAAACAGATGTGGGGCACATGTGTGAGCCGAATCTACGCTCCACGCGAATCCGGGCGCGAAAAGCCGGTTGGAACAACAGGCCTTTGCTGGCGCCCCCACACTACCAGCCACCTCCCCTCAATTCGGAAGACGCGATCCGCGGAACGCGAGGGACCGCATCGATTAGACGGAGGTGTAGGGATCGAACCCCCGCGAAACGAAGAAGCGCATTATAACTCACCAACCTGCAAAGGATCCCCAAAGGAGCACTTCTGGGGTGTCGCAAAAATCCGCCAAACCAAAACTCACCAGAACTAAGTCACCTCGAAAACTTGGGCATCGAGCTCAGCTCTTGACACGCCCAAATCCAACTGTTTGGTTCTACCAGGTTGATTCTGATGTTTTATGCAGCCCTCATTATCTTATCAAACTCCTCAGTTTTCCTTAAGAACATGACTACCCTCCGCATCTCGACCCAGTCGCGATCGCATGCAGCCCTCACCACTGCTTGGAGGCATCGATGTACGCGGACATCTGGATCGAGGCACGTACAAAAAACGCCGTAAAATGAGCCACGAAATGCAAGTCCTTCTTTTAGGGAAAGGCACTTGGATGTTCGGGCAAGTTGGTGAGTGGTTACAACCCACCAATAACAGGGGAAACTCCACTTAGGGGGCCTTTCAGGAAGTAGGCCAAATTGTGTCCTCCCAAACTATCAACGGACCAGTATTCAGATGACAAGAAAGCATTGATCTTGCTCGTGTTGTTTGAACCAAGTCTGCCCAATGGTGTTTAGCCCTGAAGTACATGGGAGAGCAGGGATCAGTACAGGTCAAAGCGTGAGGTTGTTTAAAAGTTTAGATGTTGCAGGGACAAATCTCCAATCAACATAACCAGGTCTTTTGCGACGGCGCATATGAACGGTTTCCCGGATTGGGACGTATGTGGATGCCCTTTGCTATTCCTGGCGTGACTAATAACAAGCCAGGCGCAGCCAAATCTCCAAGCAACTGCCAAAGCCGCCCCCGCCCCCCGCCCCCCAACCTGATTGGCCTGTCTGCGTGTAGTCAAAACAAAGATGAGGATGCGTCAAAACTAGAAAGCCCTGAAGAATAACGGCTCGCTTCACCCTTTTTCCATGCAATATGCCAAGCGACTCCCAACTGAGCTCCCGCACAACAAAGAAGCTCCCCGAACCACAAAGGAAGCTCGAAATCCACCGCCCCCCTCTCATCTATTTCCGTGCAGAACAAAAAACCGCACCGATCCAAAGCCCTCACTCCAAGAGGAAGCTCCAAGAGCCCTGCGCAGCCCATGAGGCCGATGTACCAGTCGTCCATCTTCCTGACCTGGAAAACTCAAAGGGGAACCGCCCGAAAGATTTGCCCAACACCTAACACTTGTTTTCGTTGTTGTGTTTTGCTGCTCCGGCAATCATCCCCCCCCCAAAAAAAAAAAAAAAACACAAGGGATCCAGGAGTCTTTGGCTTCGGAGCTGTTGGGAATCCTGTTGATTCACAAGCTTGCTCCAAGTTTTGAAGGGAGGCGAATGACTTCGAGGGAACACCTCTTATCCACCAGATAGCTTTCCTGGCTGCCTGCCTCGCGCTTCCGAATTTCTTCCAAGCGTTTCCGGGCACCTCCCTGAGGATCACCTTCCTGATCGCTCCGAATTCCAACAAAGACAGGTTGCAACTCAGATATCAGTACAATTCTTGCTACTGAAACACAGGTCACAACTTGAAACACGGGTCACCGAAAGCTCCCTAGGATGGGGTTGACCCAATGCTGAGGCATCATCCACCCCAAACAGACCTTGTGACGACGTGTGGCACATGGCACGCATTTCAGGGGCCGGCCCCGTCATGGAAGCCCGGGACACTAAGGGCGCCCAATGGAAAGACCGAAGTCGCCTTCGTGGCATCATACCTGGTGCTTGGAAACCTCCAGCGCAAACTCACTTGCTCGTGCGCCAATCCCTGAAAGCCAGCCAGATCCAGCAACCTTGGCCGTTGGCCGTTGCGTCCGTCAACACCGAAGGCACCTGCGACACATGCAGCATCTGGATGAAGGTCAGGGAGTACCTGCGTGGGAAGAACCTCTGAACCGCCCCCCCCAAAACACGAGGAATTGCCGCAAAAAGGCCGAAGGAGAAACGAGTCCCATCATATCGGCCAGACTCCCCATCCAAAGTTGTCAGGGATGTGTCCCCAAGACGTGCTGGGTGCGCGTACACAATGAAAGCGAAGAAAGCAAAGGAAGGAAGGAAGGAAGGAAGGAAGGAAGGAAGGAAGGAAGGAAGGAAGGAAGGAAGGAAGGAAGGAAGGAAGGAAGGAAGGAAGGAAGGAAGGAAGGAAGGAGGAAAGGAAGGAAAGGAAGGAAAGGAAGGAAGGAAGGAAAGGAAGGAAGGAAGGAAAGGAAGGAAGGAAGGAAGGAAGGAAGGAAGGAAGGAAGGAAGGAAGGAAGGAAGGAAGAAAGGAAGGAAAGGAAGAAAGGAAGGAAGGAAGGAAGGAAGGAACGAAGGAAGGAAGGAAGGAAGGAAGGAGAGAACAAGAAAAGGAGAGAGGGAAAGAGCGAGCAATTTCTGGGCCTGGCGGAGGTAATCGCACCCAATAGGTCCAACAAAAGGAAAGCTCTCTGCTACCAATCCCCTTTCAATAGCTTGAACTGCAAACGCATGTGGCTGATAGGGCTGCACCTTCGCGGTTTTGGGCTTTCCTCGGGGAGGGGGATGGGGTGGAATTCGTGGCCTGACCATCATGCGCAAGTTGTCGTAGACGGCAGCATCGTTCTTCTTCACGGCCTCCGGCCGATCAAGTGGCTCCGATCTTGCAATCCACTCTCATAAGCTTTGCCCCCCTTTTTCTTTCTGGGGAAGCTGGCGGATCCTGAGGCTCCAGAGTCAGTGACCCCCCAACCAGCCAAGTACTCGACCCAAAAGAAGGCAATCTGAGAACTTGCCACCTTCTGATACCAAACGCCTTCCGCGCCCCACAATGTCAACCCGGGATAGAACTTCAACATCTCTCAAGCCGTTCGCCAAGCCAACTCTGTCACTAGGAAACGTGCTGTCACTTGACAACTAGATTTGGAGCCCAAATCCTCCCTCGCATGGTACGTGTCAACTTCATGAAGGGGCATGACCAGGCGACTTCTTTCTTTTGTCGTGCAGGGCCCCTTGGCTTCCCTCTCTCTGAACACCCACGGAACTCCTTCAATGCAGGTGGCGCCACTGGGACATGTGCTCTCCGTTCCACGGGCTTCCAAGTTCCTCGAGCTCCATTGGAAGGGGTCTTCATGAAGTGGCCGGGAACCGGCGGTGTTTCTCACAGGGCGAGAGGCCTGGGTGGACTGGCTCAACGGCAAGCCTTCCCTTCTCACGTGGCTCTCAGGGCCCCAAGGACCCAGAAATACCAGGTTGGCCCTTTGGGGCCATGACTAGAAATGGAACGGGGGGAACCAAAAGATCAACAGGTCGGCTTTGGGCAACTCATAAAGAGAAAATCTCCGGCGCGCTCAACCCCAACATCGCCTCCGCGTCAGAGGAGACCTTGGGATCCTGCGTGCCGCTGGTTGAACCGCCGGGTACCCTGCCCTGTGGATGTGGATGGGACCTCTGAAAAAAGCGAGAAGCTTGGACCAAAGAGCAATCCAGGCAACGAAATCGGTCCAAGTCAGAAAGACGGTGACCAGAAAGACGCACCAACAGAACCACCTTGACAGCAATGGACGATGAAGTGCCCTCCCTCCAAGACGAGAGGAAGTGCAAGTGCTTGCCCTTTCGAAGGAGGTTCAATGCTGTGCCGCCCTTAGAGGGTCCACCCGGTCCCCTTTAAATTGGGTCTGTGCCTTTTGAGGATACCCTTGGGGTTGGTTTGGGAAACCCTTTGGGGCACAAAACGGGCCTTGTTGAGGCCTGCCTTGTCTGGATGAAGAAAGCCTGGTTCGGGACATCTCCCCCTCTCTCTCTGTGTCTCTATATCTCAGTCTCTCTATCTCTCTGTCTTGAAACATCCAGCCAATGGATCATCCAGTGAGCGTGGCTTACAGCCGTT